TGTGAGAGCGTGTGTGGGGCGTGTGAGAGCGCGTGTGCGGGGCGTGTGTGAGCGTGTGTGAGCGTGTGCGGGGCGTGTGTGAGCGTGTGTGAGCGTGTGCGGGGCGTGTGTGAGCGTGTGTGAGCGTGTGCGGGGCGTGTGTGAGCGTGTGTGAGCGTGTGCGGCGCGTGTGTGAGCGTGTGTGAGCGTGTGCGGGGCGTGTGTGAGCGTGTGCGGGGCGTGTGTGAGCGTGTGCGGGGCGTGTGTGAGCGTGTGCGGGGCGTGTGTGAGCGTGTGTGAGCGTGTGCGGGGCGTGTGTGAGCGTGTGCGGGGCGTGTGTGAGCGTGTGTGAGCGTGTGTGAGCGTGTGCGGGCGTGTGTGAGCGTGTGTGAGCGTGTGCGGGGCGTGTGTGAGCGTGTGTGAGCGTGTGTGAGCGTGTGCGGGGCGTGTGTGAGCGTGTGTGAGCGTGTGCGGGGCGTGTGTGAGCGTGTGAGAGCGTGTGGGGGGCGTGTGAGAGTGTGTGAGAGCGTGTGGGGGGCGTGTGAGAGTGTGTGCGAGTGTGTGCGAGTGTGTGCGAGTGTGTGCGAGTGTGTGCGAGTGTGTGCGTACCTGACTCCCGGGAAAGCCCTGTTTGGAGCTTCCTGCAGAAATGGTCTGTGGATCCTGCGTCTCAATGTCAGCTCATCTGAGAAGGTCGACTTTAAAAGCATCTTAGACTCAGATAAACTAATGTCACCTTTTTATCTGGACTTTAGCTTTAAAGGCCACGTATTACGCAATATATCTGCTCTTTAACACCTCCTTTGACATTTCATACTTTAGTCTTTAAACTACTGCTTGGCACGAGCTGGACTTCAGGATCTGTCCTTCATAGCCTCAGACTAAGACTTCAGGATCTGTCCTTCAGAGCCTCAGACTAAGACTTCAGGATCTGTCCTTCAGAGCCTCAGACTAAGACTTCAGGATCTGTCCTTCAGAGCCTCAGACTAAGACCTCAGGATCTGTCCTTCAGAGCCTCAGACTAAGACTTCAGGATCTGTCCTTCAGAGCCTCAGACTAAGACTTCAGGGTCCGTCCTTCAGAGCCTCAGACCAAGACTTCAGGATCTGTCCGTCAGAGCCTCAGACCAAGACTTCAGGATCTGTCCTTCAGAGCCTCAGACTAAGACTTCAGGATCTGTCCTTCAGAGCCTCAGACTAAGACCTCAGGATCTGTCCTTCAGAGCCTCAGACTAAGACTTCAGGATCTGTCCTTCAGAGCCTCAGACTAAGACTTCAGGATCTGTCCTTCAGAGCCTCAGACTAAGACCTCAGGATCTGTCCTTCAGAGCCTCAGACTAAGACTTCAGGATCTGTCCTTCAGAGCCTCAGACTAAGACTTCAGGGTCCGTCCTTCAGAGCCTCAGACCAAGACTTCAGGATCTGTCCGTCAGAGCCTCAGACCAAGACTTTAGGACTTAAGCGTTAATTAAGATGAATGAATTAAACAAAAATAACATGCTAATTATTTTCTATGCATTTTAACGCATTGCGCACAGCGGAACGTTTGCCTTTGGGATGAGTTTTGGGGAAGCATTTATACTGGAACACCAACATGAAGGAATAAACTGACGACATGTGTCGTCTGCTTAAGGGAAATGTTGTTATAAAAACAAACAGATGGAAGTGTTGATTAGAGCAGGTTGTGTTTTCATATCAGCACAGCGCATGGAGTATCACCTCAACGCTAAACATGGAGCAGCTAGCTGTTAGCATGGACGTTAGCCCGAGTAGAAAGACCCACAAGACACACTCCACCAGGGACTGTAGACTGTAGAGCACTGTTTTTCTGATGTTGTTTCTGTGGGCACTGGTTCTCCTCAGGGATGTATTTTGAGTCCTTTGCTTTTTACTTTGTACACTCACGATTGTGTGTCCTCCTCTGACTCAAACTTGATCATCAAATATGCTGATGACACCACCATCATCGGTCTCATCAGTGACACTGATGAATCCTCTTATAGAGCAGAGATACAAAATGTGGTTCAGTGGAGTCAAACTAACAACCTCCAGTTGAACGCATCGAAAACAAGTGAACTGGTCTACGACTTCAGTCGCAATAGTTCTCATTTGCCTGTCGTAATCGACAACTCCCAGGTGCAGATCGTAGAGGAGTGTAAGTTTCTGGGTTTAACTCTGTCTAACCTGAAATGGGTTAAAAACACTGACCGAGTCGTTAAGAAAGCTCGTCAGCGTCTCTACTTTCTGCGTAAACTTAGAGAATTTACCACTAACTCTAAGATTCTGCTTAACTTTTATCGCTGCACCATTGAGAGTTTACTTGTTGGTTCTGTGTCTGTGTGGTTTGGAAACATCACAGATAAAGAAAGCTTTAAAGACTTTTAAACCGAGCTCTTAGAATGATCAATGACTCTTCTGGCCACCCTGGAAAAGCCATGTTCCAGCTTCTTCCTTCTGGCAGAAGATATCGTTCTCTGAGATGCAGGACATCTCGATATGCTAACAGCTTCTTCCCACAAGCTGTGATCAGTTTTAACAGAGCACTTTAATGATCTTGCACTTTATATTGATACTGTCTTAGCCGATCGTTTTCACAGTGACAATTGTTTTACTGTTTTAATTGTTTGTTTCTTTCTGTAGTTTTAATGTTGTTTTATGTCTGTACTTGTGCACACTGGGGACTTTTGCTAATGAATTCCAATGTGGTTTTTTTTGTGGCGTATTTTTAAAATCCAGTCCCGGCCATAATTATTATTATTAGTCATCTGCTCCTTATGAACCGATGGCTCCATGTTTGTTAATCGTCGTATCTCCTGTTGTTGAGCGGTGTCTTTCTCGGATCTGTGTTGGTTGTATTGAGTTCGAGGGTTTCAATAATCTCCTTTTGAGCAGGAAGTAAACAGCTCAGATAAATAATGAAATACCAAAATGAGACTGCTTCAACAACAAAGATATGAAAGCAGATCCTCAAGTAGAGCAGAGCCAGTGATGGTAGTGAGCCGGTGAGTTTTGTGCCGGTGTTGAACCAGACACGGAGAAAAACAGCCAGACAAAAACAAAACCATGCAGATGTTCAGGTCACGGCCTGGTCCCAATTCTCCTTCCCTGACTCCTCCTGTCCTCCAGTGACCCATTTCTCAGGGGAGAGGAGAGAAAGGAGGAAGAAGAGATGAGGGAGGAGAGAGGAGAGAGGAGAGAGGAGAGGGGATAGAGGAGAGAGGAGAGCGGAGGAAGAAGAGATGAGGGAGGAGAGAGGAGGGAGGAGAGGGGATAGAGGAGAGAGGAGAGAGGAGGAAGAAGAGATGAGGGAGGAGAGAGGAGAGAGGAGAGAGGAGAGGGGATAGAGGAGAGAGGAGAGAGGAGAGAGGAGAGAGGAGGAAGAAGAGATGAGGGAGGAGAGAGGAGGGAGGAGAGGGGAGAGAGGAGAGAGGAGGAAGAAGAGATGAGGGAGGAGAGAGGAGAGAGGAGAGAGGAGGGAGGAGAGGGGATAGAGGAGAGAGGAGAGAGGAGGAAGAAGAGATGAGGGAGGAGAGAGGAGGAAAGAGGGAGGAGAGGGGAGAGAGGAGAGAGGAGAGGGGAGAGAGGAGAGAGGAGGAAGGAGAGAGGAGAGGGGAGAATGAATAGGGGAGAGAGGAGAGGGGAAAGAGGAGAGAGGAAAGAGGAGACAGGATAGAGCACAGGAAAGAGGAGAGATGGGAGAGAGGAGTGAGAGGAGAGAGGAGAGAGAAGAGAGGGGAGATAGGAGAAAGGAGAGAGAGGAAAGATGAAAGACAGGAGAGAAGAGAGAGGAGAGAGGAGGGAGGAGGGAGGAGAGATGGACGAGAGGAGAGAGGAAACAAGAGAGAGAGGAGAGAGGACACAGGACAATGGAAAGAGGGGAGAGGAGAGGAGAGAGAAAAAAGGAGAGGAGACAGGAGACAAGAGAGAAGAGACAGGAGGGAGAGGAGAGGTGGCAGGAGACAGGAGAGAGGAGAGAGGAGACCAGAGAGAAGAGACCAGAGAGAGGAGACCAGAGAGAGACCAGAGAGAGGAGACCAGGGAGAGGAGACCAGAGAGAGGAGACCAGAGAGAGGAGACCAGAGAGAAGAGACCAGAGAGAGGAGACCAGAGAGAGGAGACCAGAGAGAGGAGACCAGAGAGAGGAGACCAGAGAGAGACCAGAGAGAGGAGACCAGAGAGAGGAGACCAGAGAGAGACCAGAGAGAGACCAGAGAGAGGAGACCAGAGAGAAGAGACAAGAGAGAAGAGACAGGAGAGAGGAGATCAGAGAGGAGGAGAGAGGAGCTGAGCGATGTGTGTGAATCTAAAGCAGAGAGAGAGTCTGGGTTCATGTGGACAGAACGAGAGAGACGCAGAGAGAGAGTCTGGGTTCATGTGGACAGAACGAGAGAGACTTGTTGCTGGAGGCTGAAGTGTGGAATAAAAACACTGCCTTTGAACTCTGCTCTGCGACACTTATGGACAAACGCCATCCATCACTTCATTGATCTTTCTGTCTATTGGGGACAGAAAATGATTTTGGGAATTTGTCCCGAAGTACAGGAACCATGCGTCACTGTCTTTTTAATAATGTTAATATAATCTGACAATGTTCAAATCCAGGTTCAGCGCAAACATCTGAAGGACGGAATTTACCGAGATTATGTAAGAATTCAAATCCCTTTTAAGTTTCTGTGCTGTTTTGTTCAGCACTTATGTATGCACGGTGCTACACAGATACACTTCCCTTTAGAGAGAGTGAGAGAGCGAAAGATAGAGAGGCAGAGAGAGAGAGAGATAAAGAGAGAGAGAGAGAGAGTAAAAGAGATGGAGCAAGAAAGAAAGAGATTGAGAGAGAGTTGGTAAGAGAGAAAAGCAGAGCAAAAGAGAGACAGAGAAATGGAGAAAGCGAAAGCAAGAGAGAGAGAGCAAGAGAGGGGGGAGATGGAGAGATGGATAGAGAGAGAGAGAGAGAGTATCTAAAGTGTTACCATTATCATTGTTATCAAGGGTTAAGGAGTAACAAGTTTAGGAGAAGAGCAATTAGACAGAAGGGGTGGGGGTCAGGTGATATTGAGTGTAGATTTGTGTGGTGTCTGTGGGGTCTGTAGTGTCTGTAGTGTCTGTAGTATCTGTGGTGTCTGTAGTATCTGTGGTGTCTGTAGTATCTGTGGTGTCTGTAGTATCTGTAGTGTCTGTAGTATCTGTGGTGTCTGTAGTATCTGTGGTGTCTGTAGTGTCTGTAGTATCTGTGGTGTCTGTAGTATCTGTGGTGTCTGTAGTATCTGTAGTGTCTGTAGTATCTGTGGTGTCTGTGGTATCTGTGGTGTCTGTAGTATCTGTGGTGTCTGTAGTATCTGTAGTGTCTGTAGTATCTGTGGTGTCTGTGGTATCTGTGGTGTCTGTGGTATTTGTGGTGTCTGTAGTATCTGTGGTGTCTGTAGTATCTGTGGTGTCTGTGGTATCTGTGGTGTCTGTAGTATCTGTGGTGTCTGTAGTATCTGTGGTGTCTGTAGTATCTGTGGTCTCTGTAGTGTCTGTAGTATCTGTGGTGTCTGTAGTATCTGTGGTGTCTGTAGTATCTGTGGTGTCTGTAGTATCTGTGGTGTCTGTAGTATCTGTGGTATCTGTGGTGTCTGTGGTATTTGTGGTGTCTGTAGTATCTGTGGTGTCTGTAGTATCTGTGGTGTCTGTAGTATCTGTGGTGTCTGTAGTGTCTGTAGTATCTGTGGTGTCTGTAGTATCTGTGGTGTCTGTAGTGTCTGTGGTGTCTGTAGTGTCTGTAGTATCTGTGGTGTCTGTAGTATCTGTGGTGTCTGTAGTATCTGTGGTGTCTGTAGTATCTGTAGTGTCTGTAGTATCTGTGGTGTCTGTGGTATCTGTGGTGTCTGTAGTATCTGTGGTGTCTGTAGTATCTGTAGTGTCTGTAGTATCTGTGGTGTCTGTGGTATCTGTGGTGTCTGTGGTATTTGTGGTGTCTGTAGTATCTGTGGTGTCTGTAGTATCTGTAGTGTCTGTAGTATCTGTGGTGTCTGTAGTATCTGTGGTGTCTGTGGTATCTGTGGTGTCTGTAGTATCTGTGGTGTCTGTAGTGTCTGTAGTATCTGTGGTGTCTGTAGTATCTGTAGTGTCTGTAGTGTCTGTAGTATCTGTGGTGTCTGTAGTGTCTGTAGTGTCTGTAGTGTCTGTAGTGTCTGTAGTGTCTGTAGTATCTGTGGTGTCTGTAGTGTCTGTAGTATCTGTGGTGTCTCTAGTGTCTGTAGTATCTGTGATGTCTGTAGTATCTGTGGTGTCTCTAGTGTCTGTAGTATTTGTGGTGTCTGTAGTGTCAGTGGTGTCTGTAGTATCTGTGGTGTCTCTAGTGTCTGTAGTATCTGTGGTGTCTGTAGTATCTGTGGTGTCTCTAGTGTCTGTAGTATCTGTGGTGTCTGTAGTATCTGTGGTGTCTGTAGTGTCTGTGGTGTCTGTAGTATCTGTGGTGTCTGTAGTGTCTGTAGTATCTGTGGTGTCCGTAGTATCTGTGGTGTCTGTAGTGTCTGTAGTATCTGTGGTGTCCGTAGTATCTGTGGTGTCTGTAGTGTCAGTAGTGTCCGTAGTGTCTGTAGTATCCGTGATGTCTGTAGTATCCATGGTGTCTGTAGTACCCGTGGTGTCTGTTGTACCCATGGTATCTGTAGTGTCTGTAGTATCCGTGGTGTCTGTAGTACCCGTGGTGTCTGTAGTACCCGTGGTGTCTGTTGTACCCGTGGTGTCTGTAGTGTCTGTAGTACCCGTGGTGTCTGTAGTACCCGTGGTGTCAGTAGTACCCGTGGTGTCTGTTGTACCCGTGGTGTCTGTAGTATCTGTGGTGTCTGTAGTGTCTGTAGTATCTGTGGTGTCTCTAGTGTCTGTAGTATCTGTGATGTCTGTAGTATCTGTGGTGTCTCTAGTGTCTGTAGTATTTGTGGTGTCTGTAGTGTCAGTGGTGTCTGTAGTATCTGTGGTGTCTCTAGTGTCTGTAGTATCTGTGGTGTCTGTAGTATCTGTGGTGTCTCTAGTGTCTGTAGTATCTGTGGTGTCTGTAGTATCTGTGGTGTCTGTAGTGTCTGTGGTGTCTGTAGTATCTGTGGTGTCTGTAGTGTCTGTAGTATCTGTGGTGTCCGTAGTATCTGTGGTGTCTGTAGTGTCTGTAGTATCTGTGGTGTCCGTAGTATCTGTGGTGTCCGTAGTATCTGTGGTGTCTGTAGTGTCAGTAGTGTCCGTAGTGTCTGTAGTATCCGTGATGTCTGTAGTATCCATGGTGTCTGTAGTACCCGTGGTGTCTGTTGTACCCATGGTATCTGTAGTGTCTGTAGTATCCGTGGTGTCTGTAGTACCCGTGGTGTCTGTAGTACCCGTGGTGTCTGTTGTACCCGTGGTGTCTGTAGTGTCTGTAGTACCCGTGGTGTCTGTAGTACCCGTGGTGTCAGTAGTACCCGTGGTGTCTGTAGTACCCGTGGTGTCTGTAGTACCCGTGGTGTCTGTAGTACCCGTGGTGTCTGTTGTACCCATGGTGTCTGTAGTGTCTGTAGTACCCGTGGTGTCTGTACCTTGATGGAGGTGGTCCCCAGCTCCAGCCCGACCAGCACGGTGCGGTCCAGCAGCTCGGCCACCCGGGCGTCGGCCACCTTCAGAGAGTCCTGGACCATGTCTGTGACGTCCAGGAGCCAGTCCGGGCCCAGCATGGAGATGACCTGGTCTGTGCCTTCGCTGGACGTGGTGTGGAACTGCGTGAGCACCCGCACCTGAGCGCGCTGGAACTGCAGCGTGCAGCCGCGGGTGATGCGCCGCTCCTCCTCGTCCTCCTCGCCGCCGTCACTGTCCCGCGCACTCCTGCAAAACACAACCACCACAAGATTACACTACTGCATTACACTACTGCAGTACACTACTGCATTACACTACTGCAGTACACTACTGCATTACACTACTGCAGTACACTACTGCATTACACTACTGCAGTACACTACTGCATTACACTACTGCAGTACACTACTGCATTACACTACTGCAGTACACTACTGCATTACAATACTGCCTTACACTACTGCATTACACTACTGCAGTGTCTCCCAAAGTGGGGTCCGCGGCCCCCTGGTGGGCCGCGAGGGTTCTGCAGGGGGGCCGCGGGAGGTCATAACAAAAATAAAAAAATAATATAATTATTATTATATATATTATGTTAAATTTATAATGTTTTGTTTGTAATATTAAAATATTTGTGTTCATTATTTGACTTGAATAATCCACTGTAATCATTTTTGTATTACAATGTTTGTAGCAGAGGCTATTTCCCCAAAATAAAATAACCAGAAGAGCCTATTCTTAACGTTGTCTTCTTGGTTATTATTTTGGGGGGCCACGCAGACCCGTCAGATTTTTAAGGGGGCCTCGGTGTTACTGAGTTCGGGAATGGCTGCACTACTGCATTACACTACTGCATTACACTACTGCATTACAATACTGCAGTACTTAACTGCAGTACTTTACTGCATTACTTTACGGCATCACACTACTGCATTACACTACTGCATGTTTTTTAGTTACTTTCACCAAATGTATACAGTAAATACAAACTAAAAGTAGCTTATGATTTTAGCTTAACTGTTATGTTCCAAATCTCCAGATTTTTTGGAATGTCTCTTACTCCCTCCTCTCTCCTCTACATCCTTCTCTCCTCCAGTCTACATCCTCCTCTACACCCTCCTCTCTCCTCTCCTCTACTCGCTACTCTCTCCTCTCTTACTGTGACCCAGAAGTCTGATAAAATATCCATGTGCGGTACCTGAGTTGAAAAGATATTAGTCCTGCACTAGTTTTGTTACAAATGCACCAGAAACTAGTATCTACAGAAACATCCACAGAGGAGCTTCAGCTGTTATTATTTCATCTGACCCTCCACTAAAATGAACCACAAACTAACACTTGTATAAATGTGATCACAGGTGCTTTTATATACACACACACACACACACACACATACACAGAGGCAGACAGACACACACACACACACACACACACACACACAGAGACAGAGGCACACACACACACAGACAGACACACACACACAGACAGAGGCACACACACACACACACAGAGGCACACAGACACACACAGAGGCACACACACACACACACACACACAGACAGACAGAGACACACACACACACACACACACACACACACACACAGACACACACAGCGAGCCTTCAGCAGCAGTCAGCCACATGTCCGCACTCATCACTTAGTTCTGCAGCGTCACACACACATTACATCATTCTGCAGCGTCCTCGTCTGATGACATCATCGAGCAGATTGAAAGTCAGACGCTGAGGCCTGGTTCCAGCGGCTCTAGAGGACTATTCAGATTCAAAGCCTGTTCACTTACTGACTACATTCAGATCTATTGCATATGTTTTCAGGAGCACCCAGAGAAAACCAACGCAGACACAGGGAGAACATGCAAACTCCACTAAGAAAGACCCTGTTCAGACCGGGATTCAAACTCAGGACCTTCTTGCTGAGAAGTGAGAGAGCAAACCAGTTCATATTTTGCATCTGCTTTGTGTTTCTTAGTGATTGTGCAGGTTTTTAGACCACATTTTTTTCATTGGACTGAACCAAAACTGGACCAAAACTGAACCAAAACTGGACCTAAAAGAAAGGATCAGTTTCCATCAACAAACCTGAATATCAATATGAATTGGTTCACTTTAAATTCATGCACAGTGAGTCCTGGTTGCCCTTAAAACTCATGCTATCAATGTGTGTACGTTTATCTCAATACTGTAGTACCCTATGGGTCCACGCACCTCCGGTTGAGAAACTGCTTTAAAGAAGACGTTATGATACCATGTGTAGTGACTGGAGATACCATGTGTAGAGACCATGTGTAGTCACTGGTATCTACACATGGTAGTAACTGGAGATACTGTAGAAGTGTGGTGACTGGAGATACCATGTGTAGTGACTGGAGATACCATGTGTAGAGACCATGTGTAGTCACTGGTATCTACACATGGTAGTAACTGGAGATACTGGAGATGTGTGGTGACTGGAGATACCATGTGTAGTGACTGGAGATACCATGTGTGGTGACTGGAGATACCATGTGTAGTGACTGGAGATACCTTGTGTAGTGACTGGAGATACCATGTGTAGATACCATGTGTAGTCACTGGTATCTACACATGGTAGTAACTGGAGATACTGGAGAAGTGTGGTGACTGGAGATACCATGTGTAGTGACTGGAGATACCATGTGTAGAGACCATGTGTAGTCACTGGTATCTACACATGGTAGTAACTGGAGATACTGGAGATGTGTGGTGACTGGAGATACCATGTGTAGTGACTGGAGATACCATGTGTGGTGACTGGAGATACCATGTGTGGTGACTGGAGATACCATTTGTAGTGACTAGAGATTTTGTCCCAACCGCTGTTAGACTGAACTATCCGTGGCTTGTTGGAGATATGGACTTTGGTGGCTCCACTTCATACTCATAGTTTTTTATAGTAGATTTTTATCGTTTTTTTTTTAAAGCGTTTTTAATGTGTTTTTTATGCCTTGTGCTGCTCAAACGAACTGCCCCGGTGGGATAAATACAGTCGTCTGAATCTGAATCCGATGAATCCTGGGTTCCAGTGTGTTCCAGTTTGTGGGAGAGAATGTCCTGGATTTCTGAGCTTCAGTATCAGTGGAAATATTGGCCGTCGCGCTGCACTTGGTCTGACCTTTCTTCTCCAGATAACAATGTTTGGAGACTAAATGAGTGTAATAAGCCTTCATTAGAGGCTGTGACATTAAGCTGAGGAGGACAGCGAGGAGGCAGCGAGGAGGCAGAGAGGAGGTGAGTGGCCCCTCTGCCCCCTGGTCCCTCTTCATTAGCTCATATTCTGTCGGGACGGTGGCTCACCCAGAGCTGGGAGACACTCCTGACTCATTTAGGCCGGATCAAGGAGAGGAGAGGTCAGGCAGCACTTTCTTTACAAGTTCACTACTTTTAAGGGTCTGGGCTATTACGCTCCCCATGGAACTGCTTTGGCGAAGTCTTGAAATAGCACAAGAACAAAAAATATCTACGGAAACAAGAAATACTCTATACTATAGAATATAAAATGTATCTATTTGACACATGTATGCAGTATTCTGTTTCCGACAGCATTTACCTCAGTACTTCAAGATTAAAATGTGATCCATTCAAGATTCATTTAAGATTCAAATGGATTATTTATCCATTTGAATCTTAAGTAGAAATAGAGATTGATCAGTAAAAAAACCTCGTGGTAGACTGAGGAATTACATTTAGCGTTTTTTAAATGAGAAAATCTGACTCGCAGGAACGAAGACACGAACACAGATCATATACAGAGAGAATGGGGTCGAAAACAAGATGCAGATGCTTTGTATTTTTATTGCACATAATACATCATGCACTGACTATATTTTTTGCCTTTAACATATTTGCACACTTCTGTCTTTTGCACAATCTGAGTGATTCTATGTGTGCCAAATGTGACATGCACAAGTCCATCTTATCTTATCTTACAAGCCTCAAATAATATCTCTTCTCCATGTGACCTGTCCTGCTCCACTCAACAGCTAGTGTCTGTCTGTCTATCAATATCTGAACTCTGAACATTGTAAAGCGCTTTGGGTGACCTTGGTCTGTAAAATGCGTTATATAAATAAACATCACTTACTTACTTACTTACTTACTATCTATCTATCTGTCTATCTATCCCCTCTCCTCTAATCCCTCCTCTCTCCACTCCTCTCATCAATACTCTCTCTCATCTCCTTCACTTTTTCCCTCTCTCCACTTCTCTCCTTTCTCTTTCCAAATTTTAATAATAATGCCTCTCTCCTCCACTTTCTCCCCCCTCGGTTTTGACTCCCCCTGCTCGGACTCCTATGCACTCTCGTCTCTTCTCCTTCCTCTCCCCTTTCCTCTCCCTCCTCTCTGCCTCTCTCCTCCACTCTCTCCCCCCTCCATTCCGACCCACCAGACCAACACCCAAAGATTGTTTTCTTTTTGAAATGATCCTATATACAATTTGTAATCAAAACTCCACATATGTCTCTTTTAAAGACTATTGCAAATTGTCACAGGACCTGTTATATCGTCATATCGTGCACTCATTCTGTCGCCTGATGGCAAATGCACCAAACTGTATAACTATGAAAAATGTATACAACTGTAGATTTGCAGTCACGGCACGTTCTTTCATGGGTTTTCGTTCTGACTTGGACTCTGACCTTTCGACATTGCCTTTTCACTGAGGCGTGTTCAGTACAAACACAGCGGCCAAAGATATCGGCTGAAATAAGTATTGTGGCTTCTTAGAATGACTATCTGCCTTCTTGGCACAGAAACAGATCAGGCGACAAACACGAGAGGTCCCCATAAACACATGAGGTCCCCACAAACACAAGAGGTCCCCATAAACACAAGATGTCCCCACACACACATGAGGTCCCCACAAACACAAGAGGTCCCCATAAACACAAGAGGTCCCCACAAACACATGAGGTCCACAACAACACAAGAGGTCCCCACAAACACAAAAGCTTCCCTGTTCCGAGTGGGATTCGAACCCGAGACGTTCTTGATGAGAACAGAGAGTGCTATCAACTCAGCCACTGTATCGTGTGTGTGGACATTGGATGTGTGTGTGTGTGCATGTATGTTTGTGTGTGTGAGTGCGTGTTCATTCAGGTGTGTGTGTATGCATGTTTGTGTACGAGTGTGTGTGTTGGTTCAGGCGTGTGTGTGTGTGTGCATGTTTGTGTACATGTGTGTGTGTGTGCGTGTTTGTGTACGAGTGTGTGTATGTGTATGCATGTTAGTGTACGTGTGTGTTGGTTCAGGCGTGTGTGTGTGTGTGCAAGTTTGTGTACATGTGTGTGTACATATGTGTGTGTATGTGTGTGTACGTGTGTGTGTGTGTGCGTGTTGGTTCTGGCAACTTCTTCTCCACCATCAGTTCTTCTTATTTTTATCTGTGTTTTTTTAGTTTTAGTCTCAGTGAATCCGCAGATTTTCAGATGGAGCCCTTTATCCACACTCAAATCTAACTGCAGATGTCAAACACTGGATGCAACGTCGCGATAAGAGCAGAACCATTAATCCAAATATATAAAAACAATTATTATCATATTCATCAGATTAGATGAGAATCGTGTGCCTCGAATTATTCCTTAAAATATGGTAAAACATTCCAAAACCAAACAGAGACATACGGCTGAATAACTGGAGTCGAAATCTATTCTTCTGTTTATTAAGAAGCAGCGTTTGAGAAAAGCCAGAATTATAGAATCCCACACAATTCTGCAGAAGCCTCTCCAACAGAGACAACAAATACACACACACACATACGCACACACACACAGACACACACACATACGCACACACACACACACACACACACACACACAAAATTACGACCCATTTTTATGCTCTGGTTTTGTGAGTTGTATGGTACGGTAATATTTTATGTAGTTTTACTGTTACGTGTGCATCTATGTGTGCCTTTTTGTGTATGTATGTATATTTATGGTTTTATCACATTTGATTTTAAACTATTTTACTGTTTTACTTAGTTATAATTGTTTTTTTTTATTTTCCCGCACTTTGGAAGTTAATGCCATGAATCCAATCCACTCTATTTATATTGCACATTTCATAAACACTACATTTCCATAATTTGTCCTCTTTAAAAGCAAACAGATCTGTAAGTGCAGCTCTGTATCTGTATGTGCGTCCAGAACTGTGTGTGTGTGTGTGTTTGTGTGTGTAGCTGATCCTGTTCCTCCAACATTATTTAACGATGCATTTGTAAAAGAATATTTCGACTGATTTCAAAACAACAACAAGGTCACACCAGGATGTATTAAATTAACTGGAGGGTGTTGCTGTTTTAACCAGTCTCCACATAGACTAGAGGCCACCTGCGGTACTGCACCTGAAATACACACAGGCTTAAGGAGATCTTTCTCTGGTCTCTCGCTCTGGTCTGTCTCTCGGGTCTTTCTCTCTGGTCTCACTCTCGGGTCTTTCTCTCCCTGGTCTCTTTCTTGTTGGTCTCTCTCTCTCTTTCATCTCCCTCTCTGTCTGGTCAGTCTCTCCCGTCTCTCTCTAATCTCACTCTGGTCTTTCTCTCTGGTCTCACTCTGGTCTCTCCCTGATATCTTTCTCGTTGGTCTCTCTCTCTCTCTTTCATCTCCCCCTCTCTCTGGTGTCTCTCTCTTTCATCTCCCTCTCTCTCTGGTCTCTCTCTGGTCTATCTCTGGTCTCGCTCTGGTCTCTCTCTGGTCCCTCTCCGGTCTCTCTCTAGTCTCTCTCTGGTCTCTCACACACACACACACTCTGGTCTCTCACAGACATCTGAGAGACAGAGTCATAGACACAAACAACAAAAAGAAACAGAAAAGTTACGAACATCAAAAACGTTGACTAGCTGAGTCCTTGCACTTCCAAAAACTAAAAGCCGTCAAATTGACTGCTTTGGGGTTTCCTCTTTTAATACATCTTCGTCCTGAGACTAGATCTAAATGGGAAACACATTCAAAGGTGACGCAGAAATCCAACCAAACACTATTCATCTCACAAACAGCCTGTAACGAACCTGCTGAATCTGCAATCTGCTGTGAACCCACAAACCGGGCCAGTCCAATCCAGCCTGAACCGATGGAAGAACGACAGCTCTCAGATCCTCAGTGAAAGTGAAAGTGAAACTAATTAGTCGCAGATTAAGAGGAAGATTGGACTGAAGCAGAAGTCTGTGCTAAATATGTCATCTTTCACTGACGGAGATGGATAATTACAGCCCATGATCCCGTGTCAGAAGGCTTTGGTTGGAGACGGCAATGTCCTTTTTCTGAACCAGGACTGAAGCTTGACTGGACCATGTCGAAGACCAGGAATGAACCAGGACAGAACCAGAAATGACACAGATGTAGGTTTTAAAAAGATATAGGCAAGGAAAGTGTGTTTATATGTATGTACTATTGTATATTCATAATCACAGTTCATTAAAACGAGTGAAGATAGAATCCTTCAGGTGTTGGGGCAAAAACAAATAAAACAAATGTTTTTAACCTTTTGTGGTAAAAAAAAGAAGAAGAAAAACAGGGTCTGATGAAGGCATAAAGCAGAAACATCATGGATAAATACGACTTTGGGCTTCTGAGCTGAGTGTGCGATGCTAACCCTGTTTCCTGAACCTTTGATTCTCATATCTGCACCTCATTAATTACTTTTTTGGTGTGCGATACCTGCTCTTTCTACATACAACCTGGATTTGAGTCATAGTAGAAGCCTGTTTCACATTTTCAGAAAGACCGTTTCAGATTTATGTTGCATGAAACTTAAATGCTGGTAGTTTCTGGAGATTCTTATCCTACATTTTTCTCCAGTAGGTTAGACTACAGTAACAGCAGCTCTCTGGTCTCCACGAACAAGCTCTAAAACATCTGCAGTAGATTCAAAACACTGCAGCACGAGTCCAGACTATAACCAGGAAGTACCATCCCATTAGTCCTGGTCTCAGGTCTCTGCACCTCAGAGAATAGACTTTAAAGCAGCTCTGTTACAAGTCTCTCCACGGGACTCTGAGGAACACAGGGACTGGCCTCCTGCTGGGACTCTGAGGAGCACAGGGACTGGCCCAACTCTATGGAGCTGGGCCAGTCCCAGCTTAGTGTCGTCCTATGTACATATACTCCAGTCTCTGCTGTGGAACTCTGCAGCTCCTCCAGGGTTGCCATAGGTCTCTGTGCTGCCTCTCTGATTAATGCCCTCCTTGCCCGGTCCGTGAGTTTTGGTATCGGCCGTCTCTTGGCAGGTTTGCTTTGGTGCCATGTTCTTTCCATTTGGTTATGATAGATTTGATGGTTCTCCTGGGGATCATCAATAATTTGGACATTTTTTTTATAACCTAACCCTGACTTGTACTTCTCAACAACACTGTCCCTTACTTGTTTGGAGAGTTCCTTGGTCTTCATGGCAGTGTTTGGTTAGTGGTGCCTCTTGCTTCGGTGTTGCAGCCTCTGAGGCCTTTCAAAAAAGGTGTGTATATGTACGGACAGATCAGGTGACACTAAGACTGCACTCATTTCACTATTTATGTGACTTCTGAAGGTAATTAGTTGCACCAGAGCTTTTTATGGGCTTCATAACAAAGGGGGTGAATACATTAGCCTGACTCTGGCCAGACCCATGTAGTTCGCTGCACTTCACACATGAGTCTGGTACTGAGCCATAGTGGTTGGATTTCAGAAGGCAGGGCCTCGTAAAAAAATCCTTGTATGTGATTGGATAGACCACTTGTCCGTTATCTTGAATGAAGTCTGCTTTCAACCACTCACATCGAAGCACACGACTCCCATAGGTTGCCAAATCCCAGCAAGATTTTCCAACCCAAAATCCGCAAGAATACCCACACAAAAAAACACTCAGAATGATTTTTTGGCTAAAAACGTAATATAATCAACTTGGGCTATCATGATTCTGTTTATTGTCTTTCTGTTTATTTAATACCTACAAGTCTCTTGGAAAAAAATATGCGGGAACCACCAAACCTGGCAACCCTGCTGCATAGTGTGTAAACAGGAACACTGAACCAGTGCTTCAACCAAACTTTACAGGAACATTTGACTCTTAAAACACACATATATCAACATAGAACCATCAACATCTCGCCTCAAATTGCATTAAAAGTGACATCTTAATTTGATCGTATTTACTCTTTTAAAAAGATTCGCGGACTTTACGTCCGCCATCTTGGATTCCTCTTGCTGCTGCATGAGAGAAGCTTGAGGAGGCAGTGCAAACCCCACGTAACACCGGCAGTCCTGATTGGTCGATTAAAAAATAATCTGGGGAAGGTGTTCGCTATGGGCTCGATACCAGACCCATGTGGTTCAGCCAAACACCTCTGGTGGAGCATGGCGGAACTACAAGGGTCTGGCAGAGCCAGGCTATGAATACATATGCACATGCCAATTTCCAGTTTTTATTTCCGAAAAATAGTTTTATGTATATCCATCCATCCATCCATTTTCTACCCTTTAATCCATTTCTGGGTCAGGGGGGTGGCAGTCAGAGATGCCACCCAAGTCTCATAGCACCAGCCCCTCACTGACCCTCTGCAGGTGGTGAGTCCACAGGAGGACGGCTGCTCTCTGAGTGTGAGCATAGCCTTGATCTTTCAGTGGGGGCTTTGGGCAAAGTGGGGTTAAGAGTCTTGCCCAAGGACACAACGACAGCAGTCATCAGTGGGAGTCGGTGGAGAAGGTGCAGAGGTGGGAATTGAACCCACGACCTTCTGGCCTTAAGGCCAATGCTCTACCAACTGAGCTACTGTCGCCCCTGTTTTATGTATATATTTTTCTCAATTCACTTCACCAACTTAGACTATTGTTTTCTGATCCACATGAAATTCAGATTAAAAAAACATTGAACTAAAGGCTGTAATGTAACAAAATAGGTAAAAAGCCAAAGCCAAAGTGAATACTTTTGCAAGGAACTGTTCAAGGATTCTTTTACAAAAAATGTATCCGCTATGAAGGAGACCCAGACCCATGTGAGAAGCGCAGCGATCTACAAGGGTCTGGCGAGAGTCAGGCTGTAGACCCAGGACTGAGGCTGTCCCAAAATTTGCTGACAGAATGTAGTTTTGAATCTGGAAACTTAATTGTTGCTAATTTGATGCCGGTGATGATCCAGGACCCTCGACCTTCAACCACATTTATGAACGTTGGTCTCTGCTCCTCATGGATACGCGGCTCTATGTGTTTTCGATCATTGTATTTCTAATCTTTGAGCAGTTTGATTCTCTGATCTGTGTTGGCGAAAACGACGGCTTTGTAAAGTCCGCTGAGCTCTGCGGTGATTTAGGGCTGTACAAAAATAAAATAGGTTGAATTGAATGGAAAGCCTTCTCCCGCGACACTTCTCCAAAACTGGTGAAGGGTGTAAAGCGGTGCTGAGTTTTGTGGTGCCTTTCTCACATCTGCAACAAACGCAGTCTCTCCAGAGCCGATCCGGGCCGGACCAAAGGCGGCACAAAGAAGCCATGAATATTGGATGTTAGACGGAGGAGATGAGGCCGCTTTAATCCCCCCCCTGTGACACTTCAGTCGGCATGGAGCGTGTTTGATTCACAGAGATGGGAGCTCTCACCGCGGGTCAGCCGGGTCAGCGCCGAGGCCCCGCGGACTCTGACACACGCCATCGTGTGCGCACCAGGGAGAAGCACGGTGGCAGAGTGGTTAGCACTATATTCTAAGCAAGAAGTGTAAAAATGACTGAAACAGTGAAGGCTGAAGCTTCACTGTTTTGTGTCATTGGCCTCTCTCTGGTCTTTCTCTGGTCTTTCTCTGGTCTCTCTCTGGTCTCTATCTGGTCTCTCTCTGGTCTTTCTCTGGTCTCTCTCCTCTCTCTCTGCTCTCTCTCTCCGGTCTCTCTCCGGTCTCTCTCTGGTTTCTTTCTGGTCTCTCTCTGGTCTCTCTCCGGTCTCTCTCTGGTCTCTCTCTGGTCTCTCTCTCTGGTCTCTCTCTCTGGTCTCTCTGGTCTCTCTCTGGTCTCTCTCTGGTCTCTCTCTCTGGTCTCTCTCTCTGGTCTCTCTCTCTGGTCTCTCTCTGGTCTCTCTCTGGTCTCTCTCTGGCCTCTCTCTGGTCTCTCTCTGGTCTCTCTCTGGTCTTTCTCTGGTCTCTCTCTGGTCTCTCTCTCTCTGGTCTCTCTCTGGTCTCTCTCTCTGGTCCCTCTCTCTCTCTGGTCTCTCTCTGGTCTCTCTCTGGTCTCTCTCTCTGGTCTCTCTGGTCTCTCTCTGGTCTCTCTCTGGTCTCTCTCTCTGGTCTCTCTCTGGTCTCTCTCTGGTCTCTCTCTAGTCCTCTCAGTGTACAATATGTAGTTATATGTTAGGATCTGTACATTAGCAGCAGTATGCTTACATAATAATAAAGCCTTTAGAACTTCACTCTGAACCAGAGCAGAGACAATGATCCCAACCAAGCAGACTCTGCATCCATCTATCCATCTACCTACCTATCTATCTATCCCTCCCTCCCTCCATGTGTCCGCTGGTTGCCTGGTCATGCAGCTACAACACACTCATCCAAACCTGAAATTTAAATCCTAACACAGTCTTTGTCTTCAGTCTCTCATGACTGAAAGCCCTTTACATTTGCTGCAGGCCTCTCTCCTCTCACTCCTCACACTCAGGCAAGCGAGAATCAAACCCACAACCTTCTTACTACGCTGTGTCGCCCAGCCTCCTGCTACCAACGTTACTGTAAAACCACACAAACCAAAGTGATTTACTCATCATTAGGACGTATTTTCCCTTCTATGCGTTGGAAAATCTGGCAATGGACTTGATTTATGGGCTCGGGGAGGATAGACATGATGAGACCAGAGAGAGAGCGCAGTGAGAGACCAGGAAGAACAGAGAGAGACCAGAGAGATAGACCAGAGATAGAGAGTAGCGAGACCAGAGATAAAGAGACTAGAGGGATAGACCAGACAGATCGACCAGAGAGACTAGAGAGAGAGAGACTAGAGAGAGAGAGACCAGAGAGAGAGAGACTAGAGCGATAGACCAGAGAGAGAGACTAGAGAGGGGCCAGAGAGAGACCAGAGAGAGAGACTTGAGAGAGAGAGACCAGAGAGAGAGACTTGAGAGAGAGGCCAGAGACAGGACTTGATTTATGGGCTCGGGGAGGATAGACATGATGAGATCCGAAGGCACGTGGGCATACTTTTTGTTGCGAAGCCTGGCTCTGCTGCGGTAATGTGGTTATGGATATCTGTGAACCCCGGGGCGTGCTAACTGACAGAGCCGCTCCGACAATAACAAGATGTGGGACGCTCGTATGTCATAAAGAGCAGCCCTCACAGATGTCAGAGCTCCAGCCTGTAGCACCGCAAACCAGGGTCTATATTTACCATATCTTTAGGAAAACATCGAGTGTATATGTTCAGCAGAAGAGCTTTAGCGTTTTTAAAAATACTCAGCGTTCTTAATTGTTGGGCCAGTTATAGTTCAAATCAAAGAAAGGAAAAAACAACCAAAAAAAGACCAGAGAGAGAGACCAGGAAGTACAGAGAGAGACCAGAGAAAGACCAGAGAGAGACAAGAGAGAAAGACCAGAGACAGGCCAGAGAGGGAGACCAGAGAGAGAGACCAGAGAGAGACCAGAGAGAGACCAGAGAGAGGCCAGAGAGGGAGACCAGAGAGAGAGACCAGAGAGAGACCAGAGAGAGACCAGAGAGAGGCCAGAGAGGGAGACCAGAGAGAGACCAGAGAGAGGCCAGAGAGAGTCCAGAGAGAGACCTGAGAGAGAGACCAGAGAGAGACAAAAGAGAGACCAGGAAGTACAGAGAGAGACCAGAGAGAGACCAGAGAGAGATCAGAGACAGAGACCAGAGAGAGACCAGAGAGAGACCAGAGAGAGACCAGAGAGAGACCAGAGAGAGACCAGAGAGAGATCAGAGAGAGAGACCAGAGAGAGACTAAAGAGAGACCCCCAGCCTGACAATAGCCTCGGAAGACATCAAAAGACTCTTCTTGAGGCTGCACCCCCGCAAAGCTCCTGGCCCGGACCACGTGTCTCCGGCCACTCTGAGACACTGTGCCAGTGAGCTTACTCCTGTGTTCACGGACATTTTCAACTCCTCTCTGCAGTCCTGCCATGTCCCGGCCTGCTTCAAATCCTCCATCATTGTCCCTGTCCCGAAGAAGCCCAGGATCACAGGACTCAACGACTACAGACCTGTAGCACTTACGTCTGTCGTCATGAAGTCATTTGAGCGCCTGGTCCTCTCCCATCTCAAGTCCTTCACCTCCCCCCTCCTGGACCCCCTGCAGTTCGCCTACAGAGCCAACAGATCTGTAGACGACGCCATTAACCTGGCCCTCCACCACATCCAACAGCACCTGGACTCCCCGGGGACCTACGCCAGGGTCCTGTTCGTGGACTTCAGCTCTGCCTTCAACACAATCCTGCCATCCCTGCTCCAGGACAAGCTCTCCCAGCTCAACCTGCCCGATTCCACCTGCAGGTGGATCACTGACTTCCTGACGGACAGGAAGCAGCGAGTGCGTCTGGGGAAGAATGTCTCGGACTCTGGGATTATAAATACAGGAGCCCCACAGGGCTGTGTTCTTTCTCCCCTGCTCTTCTCCCTGTACACCAACCACTGCACCTCCAGCCACGACTCCGTGAAGCTGATCAAGTTCGCGGACGACACCACCCTCATTGGACTCATCTCCAACAACGATGAGTCCGCCTACAGGAGGGAGGTGGACCGGCTGGTGTCCTGGTGCAGTGGTAACAACCTGGAGCTGAACGCCCAGAAGACAGTGGAGATGATTGTGGACTTCAGGAAGAGCACAGTCCCCCCACCCCCACCCTCCGTGATGGACTCCCCCATCACCTCTGTGGAGTCCTTCCGTTTCCTGGGCACCACCATCACCCAGGACCTCAAGTGGGAGCCGACCATCAGCTCCCTCATCAAGAAGGCCCAGCAGAGGATGTACTTCCTGCGGCAGCTCAGGAAAGCCAAGCTGCCTGCACAGATGTTGGTGCAGTTCTCCACGGCCATCATCGAGTCCATCCTCACCTCCTCCATCACCTCCTCCATCACCTGCTCCATCACCTGCTCCATCACTCTAACCCGAGCAGAGAAGGTGATCGGCCGCAGCCTTCCATCGCTGCAGGACCTGTACGTCGCCTGAGCTCGAGGCCGGGCTGGTCGTATCACAGCCGACCCCTCTCACCTGCACATGGACTATTCCAACCACTCCCCTCAGGCAGGAGGCTGCGGTCCATCAGGACTAGAACCTCCCGCCACAAGAACAGTTTCTTCCCCTCTGCTGTTGGACTCTTGAACACTCCTTAACCTCCCCGCCCTCTAGAAGTCCCCCACTGCTCTTTATAAAGTCACTTTACTGCCCATCATACATCACTTTACTTCACTGTACTGCTGTCACCTTACATTGTGTGCACCATGTGCACTTGTATATTGTAAATAGTAATTGCAACTCTGTTTCAATTTTAAATGTATTCCTTAGAAGTGTTTTTTATTCTTTATTTTTTATTCTCTCTCTCTGACTGTTGCACTGAGCCAAAGCAATTTCCAAGTCTGTGACCTCTTGTTACTTACGTGCCAATAAAAATGATTCTGATTCTGAGAGACCAGAGAGAGACCAGAGTGAGACAAGAGAGAGAGACAAGAGAGAGGGACCAGAGAGAGAGACCAGAGAGGGAGACCAGAGAGAGCGACCTGAGAGAGAGACCAGCGAGAGACCAGGGAGAGACCAGAAAGAGACATACACAGCCTCAGTCCTGGGTCTACAGCATCAGTCCTGGGTCTACAGCCTCAGTCCTGGGTCTACAGCATCAGTCCTGGGTCTACAGCCTCAGTTCAAAAAGCAGACTAAACTAATTTAATTTTCAAATGCACTAAATTTTCAGGAAACATATACTAAAAAAGAAAGTGACCAGAGTGTCGTCATGGAAACCAAACCACATCCAGCTCCATGTTGTGCTGGACTTTTAATCACATATTTTACTTTCAAAACCTTGATAATAAAAACTGTTTTGGCTCGTTCCTGATCCAGCCATTTCCTGTCCGTGGTTGTTTTTCCGTCCGAAGATTCCGTCCCGATGTGAAGGACCGCGTGAGGACCTCTCCCCATTCCACGGATAATTGCTCTGGTTTCAGAACGAGGTAAAACGAAGGTTGTCGGCATGGCAACCGACGTATAAAACAGTATATTATATGTTTGAAAAGGAAAACATTCAAGGGGAGCTGAATGCAGGGGTCTCAAACTCTATTTTTTTGGGTCCCGCACGAGGTAGAGTAGGCCCTAATCCGTCATCATTAAAGGGCCCTAATCTGTCATAATTAAAGGGCCCTAATCTGTCATAATTAAAGGGCCCCAATCCATCATCATTAAAGGGCCCTAATCTGTCATAATTAAAGGGCCCTAATCTGTCATAATTAAAGGGCCCTAATCCGTCATCATTAAAGGGCCCTAATCCGTCATCATTAAAGGGCCCTAATCTGTCATCATAAAAGAGCCCTAATCTGTCATCATTAAAGGGCCCTAATCCGTCATCATTAAACGGCCCTTATCTGTCATCATTAAAGGGCCCTAATCCGTCATCATTAAAGGGCCCTAATCTGTCATCATTAAAGGGCCCCAATCTGTCATCATTAAAGGGCCCTAATCTGTCATCATAAAAGAGCCCTAATCTGTCATCATTAAAGGGCCCTAATCCGTCATCATTAAACGGCCCTAATCTGTTATCATTAAAGGGCCCTAATCTGTCATCATTAAAGGGCCCTAATCTGTCATCATAAAAGAGCCCTAATCTGTCATCATTAAAGGGCCCTAATCCGTCATCATTAAACGGCCCTAATTTGTCATCATTAAAGGGCCCTAATCCGTCATCATTAAAGGGCCCTAATCGGTCATCATTAAAGGGCCCTAATCTGTCATCATTAAAGGGCCCTAATCTGTCATCATTAAAGAGCCCTAATCTGTCATCATTAAAGGGCCCTAATCCGTCATCATTAAAGGGCCCTAATATGTCATCATTAAAGGGCCCTAATCCGTCATCATTAAAGGGCCCTAATCGGTCATCATTAAAGGGCCCCAATCTGTCATCATTAAAGGGCCCTAATCTGTCATCATAAAAGAGCCCTAATCTGTCATCATTAAAGGGCCCTAATCCGTCATCATTAAACGGCCCTAATCTGTCATCATTAAAGGGCCCTAATCTGTCTTCATTAACGGGCCCTAATCTGTCATCATTAAAGGGCCCTAATCTGCCATCATTAAAGGGCCCTAATCTGCCATAATAATAAACTGCTCTTTTCCAATACTTCTTTAACTGATAACAGTAGTTCAGAGATATTTGAATTTCTAAATTACTTTTCCAGCCCCTAAATCTTGTTATTGTTTTCATTTCGATGTCCCGCCCTCCACCGTTTCTAATCTCACTGGTAAAGTACCATGTGGCGGCGAACTAAAAAAGGTCTCGTTATGATTCTCAAATCATTAACAACAAAACAAGGAATAAAACCAGGATTTCTATCTTTGTGAAAAAGGTGTTGGTTATAGATTTATTGTTGACTAAACTCTTGTCTATTCAGCTGTTATGGTCCCAGCTGGATTCGTCTGCATATCTGGCAACCTGAGTCAGGGAGAGTGGGAGAGGCTGCAGTACCACTTTTGGCCAGATTTTTACACACTGCTTCTTTAAATACACCCCTAAGTTTGAAATGGTCCTGTTTTCTTATTCTTTATCTATAACAGTAGAACATTAAAAGTTTGATTCTCTGATCTGTTGTCGAGGAATCCCTAACTTTATAAAGTGCTCCAAGACGACTACAAAAACCGTACAAAAACAAATTGAATTGAATAGAATTTATTTTTCAACAAGAGACACAGAGATAGTGACATCACAGGCTTCTGGTTGCCATAGTGACAAACATCCGTCCATCCAAATAACGAGATAAAACCATGTAATAAAATAATTAGGTCTGGACGTCTGCACTTTGCCGCAGAGTGACACAGCGGCGGACACATCAAAGCTGAAACATCTGCACTGTAGCATCGTGTAGCATGGTGTAGCATCATGTAGCATCGTGTAGCATGGTGTAGCATTATGTAGCATCATGTAGCATGGTGTAGCATCATGTAGCATCGTGTAGCATGGTGTAGCATGGTGTAGCATCATGTAGCATCGTGTAGCATGGTGTAGCATGGTTTAGCATCATGTAGCATCGTGTAGCATGGTGTAGCATGGTGTAGCATGGTGTAGCATCATGTAGCATCGTGTAGCATGGTGTAGCATGGTGTAGCATCATGTAGCATCGTGTAGCATGGTGTAGCATCATGTAGCATGGTGTAGCATGGTGTAGCATCATGTAGCATGGTGTAGCATGGTGTAGCATCATGTAGCATGGTGTAGCATGGTGTAGCATGGTGTAGCATCATGTAGCATGGTGTAGCATGGTGTAGCATGGTGTAGCATCGTGTAGCATGGCGTAGCATGGTGTAGCATCATGTAGCATGGTGTAGCATGGTGTAGCATGGTGTAGCATCGTGTAGCATGGCGTAGCATGGTGTAGCATGGTGTAGCATGGTCTAGCATGGTGTAGCATCATATAGCATCGTGTAGCATCGTGTAGCATCATATAGCATTGTGTAGCATCGTGTAGCAAGGTGTAAGATAAGATAAGATAAACTTTATTTTCCCAAGGGAAATTTGCTTTAGGATACAGTGCTACAAGAATCTGCATGAATGAAAATGCATAGATCTATTATAATAACTGGATAGGGTATTACAGCTTGTAGCTGAATAACTCACGTGCTCAGGGGACTCTCGCGGTACTGCAGACTGAACCAGACTAAATTCACATGGGCTACCCAGAAATTGTCCCCATAGAACTCAATGTATATTAAAACAGAACAACCTCAGCTGACAGAGAACCTGACAGAGAACCTACAGCTTTAATAAAGATAGTATCTTGTGGGGATTTTAGTGTCCCTTGTCGTCCTGAACTTTTTTTCTTCTTAAATCCTTCGGTTTTGTTTAAATCCACACTTTAGTGCCACAAACTCTGCTTGTCTGGCTCTCGCTCTAACTCCCGCTCTGATGAACTGCTCTGATTGGTCAGAGCGCGGCCGAGCCCCTCTGTGCACGTGCGTGAGACCCGGTGTGAGACCCACACACGCGTGTTTGACACAATGCATTATGGGAGATCATCCACTGCACAGAACCGGGAGGACCAGACGATGCCCAAATACAGGCGAGTTTCCCATAGATCTTTGCGAGTTCCAGGCGACTTCCGCTAATCTTTCAGTCCCCATGCCGTCACAAAGCGCCACTGAGCACAACCATTCATTTGAATAGAGCGCCATCTTGGATCGCCTGGGCTTGGTAGCATGGTGTAGCATCGTCCTGACATGACAGGGACAGGGCCGGTGCTCCCAAGGGCCAGGCCGGAGCATGGGGCCCCTTAGGCAGGTCCCTGGTGGCCGGACGGTCTCTCTCTCTCTCTCTCTATGGTCTGTCTCATAATCATCTCTCTCTGGTCTTTCTCTCTGCTCTCTCTCCCTCTGGTCTCTCTTCCTCTGGTATCTCTCTTCCTCTGATCTCTCCCTCAGGTCTCTCTCTTCCTCTGATGTCTTTCTCTTGATTGTCCATTTCTAACATCAGCTGCATCGATCGGTGACGCTCAGACACCAGGAATACTCACTTCTGGTACTTTTCGGAAAGATCATTTTGCATAAAGGGGTAATTTTGGCCTAGACTTTGTTTCTTTGTGTCTCTCTGTGTCTCTCTCTCTCTCTCTCTGTTTCTCTCTCTCTGTCTCTCCGTTTCTCTCTCTGTCTCTGTCTCTCTCTCTCATTAAGTTGTTTTTGAGGACGATGTTTTGAAAGTGATCAGCAGCCGCAGCATCAGCTCCTGTCCCTCAGACACAGCAGTAATTGGAACAAAACAAGCCCGAGAGGAGAGGAGGGGAGAGAGGAGGAGAGGAGAGGAAGAGAGGCAAGGAGAGAGGAAGGGAGAGGAGAGGAGAGAGGAGGAGAGGAGAGGAAGAGAGGAGGAGAGGAGAGGAGGGGAGAGGAGGGAGGAGCAGAGAGGGGAGGAGAGGAGAGATGAGAGGGGAAGAGAGGAGAGGAGAGATGAGAGGGGAAGAGAGGAGAGGAGAGATGAGAGGGGAAGAGAGGAGAGGAGAGATGAGAGGGGAAGAGAGGAGAGGAGAGATGAGAGGGGAAGAGAGGAGAGATGAGAGGGGAAGAGAGGAGAGATGAGAGGGGAAGAGAGGAGAGGAGAGATGAGAGGGGAAGAGAGGAGAGATGAGAGGGGAAGAGAGGAGAGCTGAGAGGGGAGGAGAGGAGAGGAGAGATGAGAGGGGAGGAGAGGAGAGGAGAGATGAGAGGGGAAGAGGGGAGAGCTGAGAGGGGAGGAGAGGAGAGGAGAGATGAGAGGGGAAGAGGGGAGAGCTGAGAGGGGAGGAGAGGAGAGGAGAGATGAGAGGGGAGGAGAGGAGAGCTGAGAGGGGAGGAGAGGAGAGGAGAGATGAGAGGGGAAGAGAGGAGAGCTGAGAGGGGAGGAGAGGAGAGGAGAGATGAGAGGGGAGGAGAGGAGAGCTGAGAGGGGAGGAGAGGAGAGGAGAGATGAGAGGGGAGGAGAGGAGAGATGAGAGGGGAAGAGAGGAGAGCTGAGAGGGGAGGAGAGGAGAGGAGAGATGAGAGGGGAAGAGAGGAGAGGAGAGATGAGAGGGGAAGAGAGGAGAGGAGAGATGAGAGGGGAAGAGAGGAGAGGAGAGATGAGAGGGGAGGAGAGGAGAGGAGAGATGAGAGGGGAAGAGAGGAGAGATGAGAGGGGAAGAGAGGAGAGATGAGAGGGGAAGAGAGGAGAGGAGAGATGAGAGGGGAAGAGAGGAGAGGAGAGATAAGAGCGGAAGAGAGGAGAGCTGAGAGGGGAGGAGAGGAGAGGAGAGATGAGAGGGGAAGAGAGGAGAGGAGAGATAAGAGCGGAAGAGAGGAGAGCTGAGAGGGGAGGAGAGGAGAGGAGAGATGAGAGGGGAGGAGAGGAGAGATGAGAGGGGAGGAGAGGAGAGGAGAGATGAGAGGGGAAGAGAGGAGAGATGAGAGGGGAAGAGAGGAGAGATGAGAGGGGAAGAGAGGAGAGCTGAGAGGGGAGGAGAGGAGAGGAGAGATGAGAGGGGAAGAGAGGAGAGATGAGAGAGGGGAGGAGAGGAGAGGAGAGGAGAGATGAGAGGGGAGGAGAGGAGAGGAGAGATGAGAGGGGAAGAGAGGAGAGCTGAGAGGGGAGGAGAGGAGAGGAGAGATGAGAGGGGAAGAGAGGAGAGGAGAGAGGGAGAGGGGAGGAGAGGAGAGGAGAGATGAGAGGGGAGGAGAGGAGAGGAGAGATGAGAGGGGAAGAGAGGAGAGATGAGAGGGGAGGAGAGGAGAGGAGAGATGAGAGGGGAAGAGAGGGAGAGGAGAGATGAGAGGGGAGGAGAGGAGAGGAGAGATGAGAGGGGAAGAGAGGGGAGCTGAGAGGGGAGGAGAGGAGAGGAGAGATGAGAGGGGAGGAGAGGAGAGGAGAGATGAGAGGGGAAGAGAGGAGAGGAGAGATGAGAGGGGAAGAGAGGAGAGATGAGAGGGGGAAGAGAGGAGAGATGAGAGGGGAAGAGAGGAGAGATGAGAGGGGAAGAGAGAAGAGGAGAGATGAGAGGGAAGAGAGGAGAGCTGAGAGGGGAGGAGAGGAGAGATGAGAGGGGAAGAGAGGAGAGGAGAGCTGAGAGGGGAGGAGAGGAGAGGAGAGATGAGAGGGGAAGAGAGGAGAGGAGAGATGAGAGGGGAAGAGAGGAGAGGAGAGATGAGAGGGGGAAGAGAGGAGAGCTGAGAGGGGAGGAGAGGAGAGATGAGAGGGGAGGAGAGGAGAGGAGAGATGAGAGGGGAAGAGAGGAGAGGAGAGATGAGAGGGGAAGAGAGGAGAGCTGAGAGGGGAGGAGAGGAGAGGAGAGATGAGAGGGGAAGAGAGGAGAGGAGAGATGAGAGGGAAGAGAGGAGAGATGAGAGGGGAAGAGAGGAGAGGAGAGATGAGAGGGGAAGAGAGGAGAGCTGAGAGGGGAGGAGAGGAGAGGAGAGATGAGAGGGGAGGAGAGGAGAGGAGAGATGAGAGGGGAAGAGAGGAGAGCTGAGAGGGGAGGAGAGGAGAGGAGAGATGAGAGGGGAAGAGAGGAGAGGAGAGATGAGAGGGGAAGAGAGGAGAGCTGAGAGGGGGAGGAGAGGAGAGGAGAGATGAGAGGGGAGGAGAGGAGAGGAGAGATGAGAGGGGAAGAGAGGAGAGCTGAGAGGGGAGGAGAGGAGAGGAGAGATGAGAGGGGAAGAGAGGAGAGATGAGAGGGGAAGAGAGGAGAGCTGAGAGGGGAGGAGAGGAGAGGAGAGATGAGAGGGGGAGGAGGAGAGATGAGAGGGGATGAGAGGGAGCTGAGAGAGGAGAGAGAGCTGAGGGGAGGTGAGGAGAGGGAGAGATGAGAGGGGGAAGAGAGGAGAGCTGAGAGGGGAGGAGAGGAGAGGAGAGGAGAGATGAGAGGGGAAGAGAGGAGAGCTGAGAGGGGAGAGAGAGGAGAGGAGAGAGATGAGGAGAGGAGAGGAGAGGATGAGAGAGAGGGGAAGAGAGGAGAGGCTGAGATGAGAGGGGAAGGAGAGGGAGGAGAGATGAGAGAGAGGAGAGGGAGAGAAGGAGGAGAGATGAGAGGGGAAGAGAGGAGAGGAGAGAGAGGAGGGGAGGAGAGGAGGAGGAGAGATGAGAGGGGAAGAGAGATGAGAGAGGGGATGAGAGGGAGGAGAGTGAGAGAGAGGAGATGAGAGGGGGAAGAGAGGAGAGAGATGAGAGGGGAAGAGAGGAGAGATGAGAGATGGGAGGGGAGAGAGAGGGAGATGAGAGGGGAAGAGAGAGAGATGAGAGGGGAAAGAGAGGAGAGGAGGAGATGAGAGGGGAGGAGAGGAGAGGAGAGATGAGAGGAGAAGAGAGGAGAGGAGAGATGAGAGGGGAAGAGAGGAGAGATGAGAGGGGAAGAGAGGAGAGCTGAGAGGGGAGGAGAGGAGAGGAGAGATGAGAGGGGAAGAGAGGAGAGCTGAGAGGGGAGGAGAGGAGAGGAGAGATGAGAGGGGAAGAGAGGAGAGCTGAGAGGGGAGGAGAGGAGAGATGAGAGGGGAAGAGAGGAGAGGAGAGATGAGAGGGGAGGAGAGGAGAGGAGTGATGAGAGGGGAAGAGAGGAGAGCTGAGAGGGGAGGAGAGGAGAGGAGAGATGCGAGGGGAGGAGAGGAGAGCTGAGAGGGGAGGAGAGGAGAGGAGAGCTGAGAGGGGAAGAGAGGAGAGGAGGGGAGGAAAGGAGGAGAGAGGAGGAGAGGAGGACTATGGTCTGTGGACAACGCAACCAAAAGGTAAACAAACACACACTGCAAAAAATGGTGAAAAATAAATCAAAAATTGCTCAAATTTGGTAAAATATGTCTTATTTTGAGCACATTTAGACTGTATTAAAAACAGATTTGGCAACGGGACGTGGAAAAATGATCGTGTTTTTAAAATGTGACATTTTTCCTTTAGAATGAGAAAATATAGCAACAGTTCTTAAAATAAAAGTAAAAGTCCCATTGGTTTGAACACATAATGTGTCGGATTCATATAAAAACTTCTCGATTCAAGCAATTATTACCTCATATTTGATCATTTTGTGCACACACACACACGCGCACGTACACACACACACACACACACACACACAGCAGTGTTTCTTAATTCTCAGGGAAAGACATTTTAGTCATTAGTGAAAACAACACAATAAAGAGTTGTGTTTAGTTAAGACCATGGTGCAACAGGACGTAAGTCATTAACCAGTGTGTGTGTGTGTGTGTGTGTGTGTGTGTGCGTTTGTGTATGCACGGCTCGTTGCAACATCACCATCGCTTTGAAACGACAAAAGCCAGAGCTGTACACTCTGTCAGGAAGAAAGGCTCTTTAATATCTGCTCATCTCTTTTAAGTGTGCGGTGACACTTTTCAGAGGATCCACCGGCAACGAGGCAGTTTAGCTCTAATCTGTTATCTGTAATCTGTATGTATGAGAAGAACATGTCTTTTATTCACTTCATCTGTAATCTGTCCCAAATACAGACTAAAGGTTTTGTTAATGTTACTACAGTAAAGTGTTCATGGTTTTTACATCCTTTCATCCAGACCAGAGCCAAACAGGTCAGGTGGAAATCCAGTGGAGAAATGCCATTGTTTTGAAAAATATGGCAATAAAGCATTCAGAATGGTCCGAACCAAGCAGACTTTACGTAAATACATCTCATCACCAGTGGGGGCGGGTCCTGGCTCAAAAGTGGCCAAAATGACGTGCGCTGACATGCTGCGATACCACCCCGGGCCGATGGGGTGGATCCAGAATAAGAATTAGCTAATGCTAACATATAGCATATTCTCACCTCTGGAAAACGTCTTTACAGGATAGTCCAAAAGTTGGCTCTTGGCCCAAACTTCCGTTCCACATGTGTGTCAATGCTGAGGGGGGTGTTTTGGACCAGTCTAGTTTAGTCGCTGTGAGTTTTTGAAGTCTCTCGTTCAAATGAATGGACCTTGCGGAGGCAGACGCATGCGCAAATGCGTTTTTTTCACATTTTCCAGCCCCCGCGGCCATTTTGAAACTGCCCATAGACCGCGGAAGTTGTGGCACATCAGTTAGAACGGTGGAGATAGGTGTGACTACGTCCGTATATACAGTCTATGCCCATCCCTCATCACCACCGGCTGCTGTGACCTAAAGCAGTTTGCACTTTATTACTATTGTTGGTAACTTTTATAATGATGTATGTATTTGTTTTGTGTGGATGGATGTGTTTCTGCTGCCGGACACCAACGCTGGAATATGTGTTACTCTAGACTCAGGTCATTCTCAAAAGTATTTATGTGTTACTCAGTCATTTATTTATGCAGTGAAGCGGTAGGCGCTCATAAGTATTCTTGGGGTGGCAGTGGCTAAGTTGGCAGAGCATTGGCCTGTGGGCCCAATGGTCATGGGTTCGAGCCCACCATGAGACCTTCTCCACCGACTCCCACTGATGTCTGCTGTGTCCTTTGGCAAGACACTTAACCCATTTGGCCTATAAGGAGCGCGGAAGTGAGGTTCGCTGCTTTCCTTGATGTGTATGTGTATGTATATATGTATGTGTATGTGTATATGTATATGTGTATGTGTATATGTATATGTATATGTGTATATGTATATGTGTATGTGTATATGTATATGTGTATATGTATATGTGTATGTATATGTGTATATTAGGGTTTAATCCCGGGACACGGGATTCCCGGGAAATCTGATCAAAACTATATCCCGATTCCCGGGAAATGTTATGACGGGAAACGGGAAATGAAAGTAAAAAAAAAAATCCAGTGCACTCCTATTATAGAGCACGTTTATTGCTGTTCAAAGTTCAAACATATTTCATTTACAATCAACATGTCTACAGCTGAGAGGATGGCTCATAAATTGTGTTTTTGACAACAAATATGGGTCTTAATCGACTTAACCACGACTTGTAATGAGGCCGGCCTCAGGGTACGGGGCACATGTGAGCCCAGAATTTGGTTACATCTAATTCTATCAGAAAGCTCCTTTCTTTTTTTCCATCTGCTAAGGGCAGCAACAGGTTTGGCTAACATACATATAACACATTTTAAGATAATATAAAATGCATTTAGGGTAATGTTCTGCTTCCAATGACGATAGGAATGATAAGGAAGAGAGTAGAAGGGCAAGAAGGTTGATATTAGAAATTGGATGCGCCCGAGAGAACCAGAGTTTATGGAGGTGGCACCCATTTTGTTTTACGCTTTAAAACTCTTTGGGCTTATTTCCAAATGGGGGATTACATATCTGCGCTCAAACTATTATCTGGACTGAAGTGGTCTGTGCTGTTCATTAATAACTAAGGTAAGACCCATAACACAATTGGAAATGTGCCTTTTACGAACTTTTGCGTTTTATATAAACAAACAATGCGGGCATGGAACATGTTCTGCTGTAGCCAAACTAATTGTGAATAAGCCGCTTTGTAGGTTGTGTTGATTTATATGATATATGTTCATCTGATTGGGCTGAAGTCAGTGCCTCCAAACCTCACCGCACGTCACTGGTCGACAAGTGGATTGCGCAGACATTTAGAATCTCATATTAGTGAAATTCCTGAAGAAAGTCCATCAACAAAACGTCTGAAAACGCTATGGCTACTTTAGCAAAGCTAGCACGTGAAACACTAGTGGAGATGGCAGCTTTTGTTGGATTATATATTTGAGTGATGTCATACATTACTTGGGCTAAAAACAACAACTACAAACAACAGCTATTTCCCGGGATTTGATACGTCTCATTTTCGGGAAAAATATGAAACCCTAGTGTATGTGTATATGTGTATATGTATATGTATTTGTGTATATGTATATGTATATGTATATTTGTATGTATATGTGTATATGTATATGTGTATACAGTATGTATTTGTGTATATGTATATGTATATGTATATTTGTATGTATATGTGTATATGTATATGTGTATGTGTATATGTATATGTGTATGTGCATATGTATATTTGTATATGTATATGTATGTATATGTGTATGTGCATGTGTACATGTTACGTGTACACGTGTATATATATATATGTGTATATGTGTATGTAAATGTATATGTACATTTACATACACATGTATGTGTATATGTGTATATGAATATGTATATGTATAAGTGTATGTGTATATGTATGTGTATGTATATGTGTATGTGTATGTATATGTGTATGTGTATGTGTATGTATATGTGTATGTGTATGTGTATGTGTATGTGTACATGTGTATATGTATATGTGTATGTGTATGTGTATGTGTACAGGTGTATATGTATATGTGTATGTGTGTGTGTATGCATCAAACTGAAATTTCCCCATTGTGGGACGAATAAAGGACCATCTTCTTCTACTTCAGCCATCTCCTTTTGAGTTCTATATAGCACTTAAACACACATTGTCTTCTTTGCTGTATGTGTGAGTGTGTGTGTGTCGCTCCGAGCTTAAAAAAAGAACTGAACTGAACAGATTTCTCCAAAAAGAATCTATAAAGAATCTAAATCTAAAAGTACAGTACGGTCTTCTCAAACTTTAAACTTCTCAAACGCGGTGACTAGAAACGGCTGGATGTATTTGGGTAAAGCTCTCACCGGCGGTCGGGCACGATGGGGACTCTCCAGCCCTTGATGAAGCTCAGGTTGTAGTCGCTGAGTTCCACCAGCAGGGGGAGTTTGGGCACCCACACGGTCAGCTCCAGGGGCGCGCTCAGGTGCTCGTAGCTGAAGATGACCCGTGCGTTCATGGAGCCGCGGCTCTCCTTCCCGTTCACAAACACGTAGTCACAGTTCATGGACACCTGAGGGACATAAGATGGCGTTTGAGTTCAAAACACAGACTGTATATGCCAAACCCCAGAAGGAAAGTGCTCATGGACATAGTTTTGCTCCGACTCGCTCATGACTATAGTGTCGTTTTTTGCTGTGACGCAGTAATGCAAAATATTCCAACAGAAAACTGGGTGATATGTGACTCGGTAAAAAAGGTCAGTAACGTTACTTTGCCTGGAAATGAAATGGTGTTTTGTTTTTATCCTCTGCACCGTGAGATCAGCAGGAGACACATCTGCTCACATGGTATTAGTCTAGAAGTGTTGTTCCTTTCTGGTACAAGACGCTGAGGCTGAAGCAGAACTATGTGGACAAAAGAGCATTTTACAGATGGACAGACTCATTATTTAGAGTTCGTTAAAGATGTGGAACAGAACAGTTAAGTTCATGTTCACACCAAAAGCTCCATCAGCCTCAAGCTAGCATCTGCTTTATTATCAGCATGTACCCCCCTCCATCTTTATGCACTTCATGTTTCTACTTTTGCCTCTTGTATCTCCAACTACGTATTGTTAGTAGTTTCTGTCTAATCCTATCCTATCAGCGCTCTTTCATCAGTTCTCTTCACATCTGCAAATGTAAAGAAAGCGATGTATTGGCACTAGGCCTTTTCTTTGTTTCTCTCTGTATATGTGTCTGTCTGCAAAATTTAAAAAAAAAGGAGGAAAAAAAGCTAAGCTACACTTAGTTTGTATTCATATATTTGGAGAAAGTAACTTCAAAGTAAAGCAGTACTAATATTTTACATTCAGAGGCAGTGATATGTAGTGCCACACATAAGTTTGAAATAACAGTATCACATCACATTATGTTTTTGAGGTCGCTTCCCCAACGCTGCGTGTCGCCAAATGTCTTCTAAATACTGAACGATTTTTGAAAAAGCAGAATCATTTTAGATGAATGAAGAGGACAGACCTTTGTCCCTGTTTTCTCTGGCTCTGAGGTGTGAGCTGCTTTAATCACATCTACCACAGTCAAATGAGGCTGTTTATGGAAGTAAACTATGCATGCTAACCCCTGCGCACGCACACACACACACCACACATTCATACACACGCGCACGCACACACACACACACACACTCTGCCTAATGAGCTACGAACAATTACCCAATATGCCGACAGCACTTTCAGCCATAATTCATTGTATATATGCAACGACAGCTGTGTGAACTTTGCATCAGACGGGCTCAGAGGCGAAGTCATAAACACATTAATACAGCGGAGCCTTCAGCAAACACACTGTAAATCAGGCGACGACGTCAGATTCAAGCATCAGTGAGGAGTGGATCTAAGTCTAAGCTCTTTAACTCCGTGTCCTGGGGGAGCCGGAGCTGAAATAGGCCACTCGGTGTGAAGACGTGGAGATGTGGAACAGATGTGCGCGCGTCCAAAGCTGCGGCTCCCTCCGTTGTGATGGTGGCATTGTTCTTTTTGGTTCGATCCGACTTCAAATGGAACGCTCCACTTTCACTCGTGGTTTCAGCCGTCAGTGCTGAATGGAGTCTGGTTAATGTGGCTGTTAGCAACCCTCAGAAGATAAACATGTCCGACCTACTTCACTCCCTCCATGAGTGAAGGGAGAGGGTCTTCCTTTCAGCTACTGTCAGACTGTACAATGAGAACCAGTCGCTGTTCTCAGTCATTCTTTGCCGATGCAGAAGGGTCTAAGGACAGCGGTGCTCCGGGACATTTAAAGCCTTGCCTGCCATTGACGTCTTTTTGTCATAGACTGGTGATTTCACTCAAACTTCCCTCTACTTGACTGGGGATTACAGGAAAACGAATAGAAACAAACTTATTTTGATGATGAAAGTTGTCGATCCAGTCTTTCAGAATCCGGTTTCAGATTTCACTTAGTGCTACACAATATTCTGTGGGTCTTAAAAATCGGTGAAAATCCTCAAAAACGGCAGGCAGTCGATGAGTAAAGAATATTTATAGACGGTGGTTTTCCCGCTCCCCATAGACCAATGGATTCTACGTATTTGTTATCATTGCATTTGCCTCGAATCAACCGTTATCTGTTGTTGGCAAATGTTCTTGTTTATTTCTTTCTGTAAATGTCACTACAGTAAAGTGTTCCTGGTTTTACACTGATCTAGACCAGAGCAGAGAGGACAGTCCAAACCAAACAGATCAAGTGGAAATCCAGTGGAGAATGGCCATTGTTTTGGAAAAAATTGTAAAAAAGCATTCAGAATTTCACTCTGAACCAGAGCAGAGGAAATGGTCAGAACCAAGCAGACTCAAAGTATATGTCATCACTGATCACCAGCGGCTGCTCCACCTCCTGCTGTTGGTGAATCCACAACTTTGTAAAGTCCTGGCCTTGTCTGAGTAGTATCTAGTTCAGGCGGTGACATATAGTTCGCAGAAACGGTTTTATCTAGTTATGAAGCTAAAGCAGAAGTTCAATCAATCCGTTTTTATTTATAGAGCCCAATCAAACAATGCAATCAAAAAATACAAGTTAAAAAGCATAAAAAATGGCTACAGCGGTAATGAGTGCCTGGAAGACTCGAAACCCAGTCACTCAGACTCGGCTGGCAGCCTTTAAAGCACTCCCCTGCACTGTCGTTGAGATTTCATGTGCAGCAACCCTCCTCCTCCCCATCAACGCCTCAACAGCCAAACCAGCTTTTTCAGAAAAGATAATACAGAAGATCATTAATTCGTCCCACAGAGGGGAAACTTCAATGTTGCAGCGCACAGACAGGACAGTAGTAAGAGCACACAGGGAGCACACAAAATATTCTTGTGTTTCATATGACGTCAGGGCAGTGAATAACAAACGTAGGACAGGACGTGACGTATCCTGGCGGTGCAGTCTGCCGGGTTTATACACGGAGATATAGTAGAAGAAGAAGCTCTGTCAAAATGCCATCTTTCTGTGCGGTGGACGCTTGTAGCTACCGCACAAATAGAGAGAAAGACAAGAGTTTGTTCATGTTCCAACTGTGGTCTCATATATAAGAGGACACTTTGAAAAAATCACTGGAATGAGGCGGGTGAGGTGGATCAAGGCTTTCCCAGATAAGCGCCCCCTGCAGGCCACTCCAATGAAACGCAGCAATTTCTTCTGTTTTTCTTTCCAAAAATGCCCGAAATCAAGACTATTTTGAGAAATATTTGTTAGTACTGCCTTAGAATTGAGTGTCCCTGATTAAGACTGTTCCAACAACCGTACACCGCACAGGAGGAGAGCCTTTGACTCCAAATCAGACTTTACATGGTTTTCAATGGGAGCAAAACTGAGTTGTCCCACCTGTGCTCATTCGCCCCCTACAGGCCAGGTTCATGAAACACAAGAACACAAACCCTTTTTCAACCCTTCTCCTGAGCTCCCACCACCAGGGTCGAGGCACCGGGGGATTTCGCCTCGTTTACATTCCCCCCACATTTGTCATGCATTTCTCTTAACCACGTTTCATGTAGAGCACGCATTAAATGTCATTATCGCAAAAAACGTTGTATGTGATCATTTATGCAAAAATAGATGACGACGCCAAGCAATGAACACAATTCAAATAACGCCTTTAGTCTGTGGAGTCGGTCCAGATTGAAACGCCAAAACAGACTGGGATTTCACACTTCACACTGAAAGCTCGGGTTATCAACATGCGTCTTGTTCAGTCTAATTACACTGGAGTGGGCGAGTTCTCTGGTGCTTTCACACTCAATGAAACAGTAACGCTAAACACATCTGCATAACATGTGACCGTCCAATTACTGCAAAAAAATATGAGGTCACAACTGTTTGAATTGAATGTTTTTACCTTAATCTGAGCACATTCTGAGCGTATTAAAAGCAGATTCTCCAATGTGACAAAGCCATTTAGTCTAATCTCAAGAACTGTTGCTCTACTAACTGGGGCGACAGTGGCTCAGTTGGAAGAGCATTGGCCTTTGAGCCTGAAGGTTGTGCGTTTGAGCCCACCACGAAACCTCCTCCACTGATGACTGCTGTCGTTGTGTCCTTGGGCAAGACACTTGACTCATTGACTGCGATTGACATATTTGTCTGAGGCTGGGGATTTCTGTCAAACTTCCCTCTATTTGACTGGGGATTATAGGACAACAAAATAGCTAAAAACAGACTTTTTTTGCTGATGAACAAACACAGTCCAGTCGTTCAGAATCTGGTTTAATATTTAACATAGTCATAGCAAATAATATTCTGTGGGTCTTGGCAATCAATGAAACCATCAAAAACGTTGTTAACCCACTTTGCCTATAAGTAATCTTCACTGCATGTGTGTTTGTATTCATCAAACTCAAATGTCTTCCTTCTCTTCTCCTTTCCTCATTCAAATGGAGACATTTCTTGTATCTTTTTTAAACAAGATCATTTTGCTTTGTCCCGTTGGCAAATCACATTTTAAGGCAGTCAAAATCTGCTCACATTAAGATGTATTTTGCCAAATTACCGCCATGTTTGACTTATTCTCCCCCACTTTCTGCAGTGTGTGCCTGATGCGGTGTGACGAGGGGGATGGGCCACTCCCCGGTGTCAGCGGCAGACGGAACAGAGCGCTCCCTCTCGTCCCGATGAGCGGCCTCCTCCCAGACAATCTGCGGCGGTGTGAACATGCCACAGCGCATTATCCATATTAGCCACATTAGCCTGAGCGCGTGGCATGTGGCAGCCCCGGTGTGACGCCCCCCCTGTGTGATCCGCGGCGCCGCTAACACCTTCTGACGCACCATTAGCCTGCCCAGTCTATCAGCCGGAGCCCAGGGGCCCTGTGGAGGTGCGGAGGAGTCAGTCTCTCCCACGCCACTTTCAACCACGCGCCAAAAACACCAGCTTACCCTCAAAGCAGCCCAACCAATTCTACACATGACCGAGACAGAGAGGAAATACAGGGAGCAGTATGCAAGTAATAAACAAGATTTGAATGAACTATTTGGGGAAAATTAGTGAGAAACTCCTGGAGCCATTGATCCATAAGGAGCGAGTTTCCATCTATATTGAAGTCATGATCCTGACTCAAACCCAGACTGGTCCTCATTGGTTGGTCTGTAAGATGTAAGATGGACAGAATCAATTATCCAAGGAATCCTAGATTGCAACGTGTGAACCGACCGAGATTGGACAGAATCTCCGTCAATCCTCCCCTCAGCATCATCAAGTTAGAGTTTGTACAGTGTATGTGTGTGTCTCCCTGAAAAGAACAGTCTCCTCTTACAATAGGAACCACACTTATACAGTGCCTTGCTAAGTATTCGGCCCCCTTGAACCTTTCAACATTTCGCCACATTTCAGGCTTGAAACATAAAGATATAAAATTTTAATTTTTTGTCATGAATCAACAACAAGTGGGACACAATCGTGAAGTGGAATGAAATGTATTGGATAATTTAAACTTTTTAACAAATAAAAAACTGAAAAGTGGGGCGTGCAATATTATTTGGCCCCTTTACTTTCAGTGCAGCAAACTCAGTCCAGAAGTTCAGTGAGGATCTTTGAATGATCCAATGTTGTCCTAAATGACTGATGATGATAAATAGAATGCACCTGTGTGTAATCAAGTCTCCGTATAAATGCACCTGCTCTTTGATAGTCTCAGGGTTCTGTTTAAAGCGCAGAGAGAACCATGAAGACAAAGGAACACACCAGGCAGGTCCGAGATACTGTTGTGGAGAAGTTTAAAGCCGGATTTGGATACAAAAAGATTTCCCAAGCTTTAAACATCTCAAGGAGCACTGTGCAAGCAATTATATTGAAATGGAAGGAGTATCAGACCACTGCAAATCTACCAAGACCCGGCCGTCCCTCCAAACTTTCATCTCAAACAAGGAGAAGACTGATCAGAGATGCAGCCAAGAGGCCCATGATCACTCTGGATGAACTGCAGATAACTACAGCTGAGGTGGGAGAGTCTGTCCATAGGACAACAATCAGTCGTGCACTGCACAAATCTGGCCTTTATGGAAGAGTGGCAAGAAGAAAGCCATTTCTCAAAGATATCCATAAAAATTCCCGTTTAAAGTTGGCCACAAGCCACCTGGGAGACACACCAAACATGTGGAAGAAGGTGCTCTGGTCAGATGAAACCAAAATCGAACTTTTTGGCCACAATGCAAAACGATATGTTTGGCGTAAAAGCAACACAGCTCATCACCCTGAACACACCATCCCCACTGTCAAACATGGTGGTGGCAGCATCATGCTTTGGGCCTGCTTTTCTTCAGCAGGGACAGGGAAGATGGCTAAAATTGATGGGAAGATGGATGGAGCCAAATACGGGACCATTCTGGAAGAAAACCTGAGTCTGCAAAAGACTTGAGACTGAGATAAGATAAACATTTATTAGTCTCACAGTGGAGAAATTTCAGTGTCATCGTTGCGCACATTACAGCAGAGAAAGGAAATAAGAGCACTCAGATTGCACACATCAAAGTCTATAATTTAAGATAATAGACAATAAATTTAGGATAAAATAAAATAAGATAAACTCTGGGCTATTATTGCACTTGGTTCGGAGTATTTACAGATGTCTATATTATACATTAGCAGCGGAGAATATGAGAATATGAATATGAGCAGAATAAACATCAGAAATAATATCAACAGGTAAAGTGACTTGAATGGGAGAATTATCAGATGGATATGAATAATACAGTAAGATATCAACAAGTAAAGTGACTGGTGAAAGGCAGAATTATCAGATATGAAATAATACAGTAGTACTGATAACAGTAAATATCAGATATGTAGTACTGTAGTAGTACTGATAACAGGTAAAGTGACTAGTGACAAAGTTACTAGTGAATTATCAGTGACACTTGTGCAGACTCAGCAGTTCCTGTTACACATTCTCGTTGTACAGTCTGACAGCAGCAGGAAGGAAAGACGTACGGAACCTCTCCTTCACACAGTGAGGGTGAATTAGTCTGTCACTGAAGCTGCTCTCCAGAGCAGAGAGAGTGTCCTGCAGGGGGTGACAGTCATGGTCCAGCATAGATGTTAGTTTGCTCAGGACCCTCCTGTCCCCCACCTGCTGCACTGTGTCCAGGGAACAGCCCAGGAGACGGAGATTTATCTTCCAACAGTACAATGATCCAAAACATAAAGCCAAATCTACAATGGAATGGTTCACAAATAGACGTATCCAGGTGTTAGAATGGCAGAGTCAAAGTCCAGACCGGAATCCAATCGAGAATCTGTGGAAAGAGCTGAAGACTGCTGTTCACAAACGCTCTCCATCCAACCTCACTGAGCTCGAGCTGTTTTGCAAGGAAGAATGGGAAAGAATTCCAGTCTCTCGATGTGCAAAACTGATAGAGACATACCCCAAGAGACTTGCAGCTGTAATTGCAGCATAAGGTGGCGCTACAAAACATTAGCGCAAGGGGGCCGAATAATATTGCACTTTTCAGTTTTTTATTTGTTAAAAAAGTTTAAATTATCTAATAAATTTCGTTCCACTTCACGATTGTGTCCCACTTGTTGTTGATTCTTGACAAAAAAAAATATTTTTATATCTTTATGTTTGAAGCCTGAAATGTGGCAAAATGTTGAAAGGTTCAAGGGGGCCGAATACTTTCGCAAGGCACTGTATAAGACTCTTTCTAACTCTTTGTAGCTTTTCATTGTGCTTTTAAGAGTTTTATATTTGCCTTCCCGTGTCTCGCTATTTTTGTTCTTTTTGTCAGTGTGTGTGTGTGTGTGTGTGTATGTGCTTTGTGGTGTTGGTGCCCCCGGTGTTTCCTGTTTGTATTCCAATGTAGTTCTTTCTGCAAATGGCAAATAAACTGATTCTGATTATTTTACTGCTCAACCAACAAAAACACAACAACATCGGCAGAATTCTGTGGTCAAAGAAGTCGGAGTCTCGGGTGGTCTGAATGTACAGCTCTTCTCGTGCTTTTGGACTAAGTTTGGACGAGTTTTGGCGCTATGAAGTTGGTGCAGACCTCACAAATCCATGCTTTCAACTGTTAATAAATGGGCATCGTCACTGTTCTTAGACCCTCCTACTGTAGATCTAGGACTGGGGCTGTAGACCCAGGACTGAGGTTGTAGGTCCAGGACTGAGGCTGTAGACCCAGGACTGAGGCTGTAGACCCAGGACCGAGGCTGTAGACCCAGGACTGAGGCTGTAGACCCAGGACCGAGGCTGTAGACCCAGGACTGAGGCTGTAGATCCAGGACTGAGGCTGTAGATCCAGGACTGAGGCTGTAGATCCAGGACTGAGGCTGTAGACCCAGGACTGAGGCTGTATACGGCTGAGGACGCCATCATCTCCCTCTTCCATCGCTCCCTGTCCCACCTGGAGAAACCCGTCTCCACTGTGAGGATCCTCTTCTTTGATTTCTCCAGTGCCTTCAACACCATCCAGCCGAGGCTTCTCAGGGACAAGATGGATACAGCCGGTGTGGACTACGACCTGTCCCAGTGGATCCTGGACTACCTCACAGACAGACCCCAGTTTGTGAGAACCAGGGACTTTGTGTCGGAGGTCCTGACCTGCAGTGTGGGGGCCCCCCAGGGAACTGTCCTCGCGCCGTTCCTCTTCACCCTCTACACTGCGGACTTCAGACACAACACGGACGGTTGTGTTCTACAGAAGTTTTCTGACGACTCTGCCATCATCGGACTCAGCTCCGAGGACGATGACACAGAGTACAGAGGAGTTATACAGGACTTTGTGGACTGGTGTCAGCGGAACCACCTCCTCATCAACGCGGGGAAGACCAAGGAGATGGTGGTGGACTTCTGCAGACGTCACTCTGCCGCTCCAGCTCCAGTGTACATCCAGGGAAAGGACATTGAGAGAGTGGACTCTTACAAGTACCTGGGTGTTCATCTGAACCACAAACTGGACTGGACTCATAACACAGACGCCCTCTTCAAGAAGGGCCAGAGTCGCCTCTACCTGCTGAGGAGGCTTAGGTCTTTTGGAGTGCAGGGGCCACTCCTGAAGACCTTCTGTGACTCTGTGGTGGCATCAGCCTCTTGTACGGTGTGGTCTGCTGGAACAGCAGTATCACAGAGAGGGACAGGAAGAAGCTGGACAAGGTCATCAGGAAGTCCAGCTCAGTCCTGGGCTGTTCTCTGGACACAGTGCAGCAGGTGGGGGACAGGAGGGTCCTGAGCAAACTAGCATCTATCCCTCTCTGCTCTGGAGAGCAGTTTCAGTGACAGACTAATTCACCCTCGCTGTGTGAAGGAGAGGTTCCGTAGGTCTTTCCTACAATAAGAACTTCATCTGTAATTAAGTAAACTCTTAAATCATGTGCAATGTGCAATACTGCAACTTCAGAATGTCACAGAACAATGTCACTTTACCTCATGTCACTTTACTTATATACTTTTTATCCTGCACTATTTAACAAATATATTTTTTGACTGGTATTGAAACTTTTTCAGCATCTACAGCTAGTTATGTTAGTTAAGAAACATAGCTACTACTTATTTGTATATATTGTGTGTGATCCCTGTGTGCTCTTACTACTGTCCGAGGGGATTTCACACCTTTTTCCCTCTCGCGGGTGTGAAAGAGAGCCCCCGCTGTGCAGCGTATCTGAGGCTGAGTTTACACGGAGACAATGTGGCAGTAAAACGGTATAGTTGGATGTCGGTTGCTACCAACCGTTCATACGAAGACTGTGTTCCAGGGGGGTGAAAACGTAAGTGTTCAGATCCAGCCTGCAGAGTGGGACAACTCAGAAACGCTGCACAGCGGGGAGCTCTTTCACACCCGCGAGAGGGGAAAGGTGTGAAATCCCCCTCTGCTCTGACCCCCACCTCCGCGCTGCTCCCCGCACGTAAATTTGGACATGCGCAGTAGCGGAGAACAAACATCAACAACAATGGCGGCGGTCACACTAACTAGCTACGTGGGCTTCCAGCGCGGGACAGAGGATAATTCTACTCCTTCGTTCGTCCAAACGAGACCACGCGAAGCTCTAGGTTCAGTTTCCATTTTCACAGCTGCTGTTAAAATGCAGAATGATGTTGGTGCGTTCTGAGGGTCTGGTACAGGAAGTGAGTACACTGCCGAGAGGGGGGCCGGGCCCCGGGCTGGGGGTCGTGTGAGTGTTGTAAAGTTTCTCTGCCCACTACTGGCCGGGCGCTAGAACTACATCGTTTTTCAACCTCATGTGAACGCTGAGAAATTTGCATTAGGAGCCAGGTCGTTTCTGTTAATAGCCTGGAAACGTCTGTGCAGCGTCTCAGTATAAACAGGGCCTGAGTTGTCCCACTCTGCAGGCTGGATCTGAACACTTACGTTTTCACCCCCCTGGAACACAGTCTTCGTATGAACGGTTGGTAATAATAATAATAATGCATCGGTTTTATATAGCGCTTTTTTGGACACTCAAAGACGCTTCACATGTGTCATTATTCATTCACTCCATACACGGTGGTGATAAACTACTAATGTAGCCACAGCTGCCCTGGGGCACACTGACAGAAGCGAGGCAACCAGTATGTGCCATCGGCCCCTCCGACCACCACCAACCATTCACACACACACCAGACTCATTCTAGGCAATGGGGGTGAAGTGTCTTGCCTAAGGACACAACGGCAGTTTGGCACTTTACAGCCGCAGCCGCCCCACTGTGGCTGGTGTTCCCAGAGGTTAAGTGTCTTGCCAAGGACACAACGACAGTAGTCAGTGGGAGTCGATGGTGAAAGTCTTGAGCGGGGCTTGAACCCACGACCTTCTGGCTCAAAGGCCAACGCTCTACCAACTGAGCTACTGCCGCCTGGTAGCAACCGACATCCAACTATAGCGTTTTACTGCCACATTGTCTCCGTGTAAACTCAGCCTGAGGCTGTAGACCCAGGACCGAGGCTGTAGACCCAGGACTTGGTTTAGATGTTAAAAAGGTTGAATGGAGCTCAAAACCACTCCAGGTCTGGTTTTGAGCGGACACAATGTAGAAACATGGATTCAAGAGAGATAAACGCGACTTCTCATCACGTATCTTTGCAGTTAGTTCTGACCCTTTCTTGTCCTTTGCACATATTATTTTCATAAACAGTACATTTAATTTGACATACGCGGCGGAGGTCTGATGCATCACACTAATTGCGTACGTTCCGATCTGGGTTTGTTGTCTGGAGTGGAACGCACAAATGTATATGCTGTATATGTGTGAGTCAGAGGCCACAGGACACATGTGTAAATGTGGACCCCATAATGTACTGTTACTGCTCTGAGTTCAGGTTTTCATTAAACTAATGCCAAGTGAAATGTACTGTATGCCATGGGAACTAAATATGTTCAACTGAAGGAACCAGGACAATGCTAACGCGCTAGTCCAGGGCTCTCAATCTGATTTTATCAGGCGGCAATAGGGGTATATCTACAGTATGTCTATGTATAGACAGAAAAAAACATGACAGATCCGATGCCCTCCCCTACCGAGCACGAGCCACTGATTTGAATATGCTAATTAGTGCACATTAATCCTAACCATAGTCCACATGGGAAAGTGTCAGTTAGTAGTTAGTTAGATGTTGAAGGCCATGTAGAATAAGGACTAATAACTGCCTAATTAAGCGCTAATAAACCATAAATGTTATGCCAATTAGCTCGTATGTAGCTGTTAACCAGTGATGCTAATTTAGCTGGGGTCATCTTTCTGACAGTATCAAGTAAGAGAGTTCTTTTATGCCTCTGGGTTTGTGGAAAAAGCAGCCCTTCTAACAGACGAGAGTTCATTGAAAATACTATTTGCCCCAAATGACACGGTCTGAGACGAATGAAAAGACTTTGAAGTGGGAGTCTCCGCTTCAGAGGCCCCCACACCGTTAGCCTTACAGTTAGCCTTAGCATCATCGCAACATCCAGCCTGTGTACTGTAGAGATGTGTCTTCTTCAAGTGTGTCATGGTGATTAAAGAAGACGTTACGTTGTGTCTGCAGAAACCTGTGGCTCATTATTGTACTATTCTTTTAAATAATAAACCTGAGTTTCTTGTTTCCTCCTTTTATTCTGCTGTGCAACGACATTAGCTTCCACCGATGTGGTTGCTAATGGGGTCACAGTTAAGACAAGTGTATCACAAAAAAATAAAATACATTAATCAATACAATACATAAATTAATTCATTGCCATCATGTTAAAAGCATAGATATATAGATAGATAGATAGATAGATAGATATACTGTAGATAGAGAGATCTTGACCAATCAGACTAACGAGCCACAGGTTGAAAAACACTGCTTTTATTACTCAGACACATTTCCAGGCTGTCAGCCCATGTGGGAAGAAAACTATTTGAAATGTATTCTGAGCCAGGGATTCACGATTCTGGCAAACATATTTAATTGCAGTAGCGTCTGAATTAGCATCTTTGTCTTTGAAATGAATCAGAGTCTGGTTTTGTTTTCTACATCAGACAAAAGAAAGACAGCGATGTCATCCGTCTGAAAACACAGAAATCACGTACAAACCGTGTCCCGCTCGTCATCCAAGTATTCACGGCTACGGCTAAAGAAGCATTTTATAAAGCAGCCCATGTTGTGTGTGTGTGTGTGTGTGTGTTCTTTGTGATATGATCTTAACTGATAAGATAAATAAAGTAGTGTAAATTGGTTTCATTTTAATGCTGTTTGGGGGGAAATGTATTTTTAACATGTGTAATTTTCTAAAACTTTGTATGTTGACATCAGTCTGCCCAGGGACTGCAGGTGGAAATTAGCACAAGTGCTACAACCTGGTACAATGCATCTCTCCTTTCTGAGGTTAATGTATATTGTACACTGTCCCTGTTCAAATAAATAAATAAATGAAATGAAATAAGAGAGAATCAAATAGTCTGAAATTACTGCAGTATTTTCCCAGTAGGAACAGGGCCTTTCTGAGTGGAGTTTGCATGTTCTCCCTTTGTCTGCGTAGGTTTCCTCCGGGTGCTCCGGTTTCCCCTACCACTAAAACATGCACAATAGGTCTGAATGTGAATGAGAGAGTGAATGGATGGTAGTAGGGAGCGCATAAGCAGAGGTGGGACAAGTCAGTTTTGCTCCCATTGAAAACCATGTAAAGTCTGTTTGGAGTCAAAGGCTCTCCTCCTGTGCGGTGTACGGTTGTTGGAACAGTCTTAATCGGGGACAGTCAATTCTAAGGCAGTACTAACAAATATTTCTCAAAATCGTCTTGATTTTGGGCATTTTTGGAAAAAAAGAAAAACAGAAGAAATTGCTGCGTTTCATTGGGGTGGCCTGCAGGGGGCGCTTATCTGGGAAAGCCTTGATCCACCTCGCCCGCCTTATTCCAGTGATTTTTTCAAAGTGTCCTCTTATATATGAGAGAGAGAAAGAGAGAGAGAAAGAGAGAGAAAGAGAGAGAGAAAGAAAGAGAGAGAAAGAGAGAAATAAAGAGAGAGAGAGAGAGAGAGAGAGATAGACACACAATTCTCAAGACCTCTCCCTTTCTCCTCCCCCCTGCTCCTCCCTCATCATTTTGCTTTGTGCCGTTGTCAAATCCTGTTTTAAGGCCCAGTCAGAATGTGTTAAAATTAAGATACATTTAGCCAAATTCACACAATTTTTCAACTATTCTTTATCACTTTTTGCAGTGTAAAACCAGCCGCAAGGGTCAGATAAGTAGGATAGAAGTAGCGGCTTATTGTCCGAAAATTACGGTAATTAACGTGACTAGAAAGTGTCAGACAGCTCCTCAGTGGGTCTTCTCTTCAGTGTGCGGTTCTGTGAGGCCTGACCAGAGCGAGTCTGAACGAGGCGAGCTCTGACCGGTGTGGGCAGTGGAGCGCAGCAGCTCGATAGCCCGCGGTCAGGCAGGCGGCCCCGCTTCACCTTTAATGGACACTGACAAATGAGAGAGGAAAGACTGCTACCTCCACCACCACCAGCAGCAGCAGCAGCCGCCTGGACACCCCCCAGCCCTCTCCCCCAGCCCGCCCCCACCTCTAAGTACATGTGAAGAGAGTCCTGGAGCACTTTCACCTGGGGCCACTCTGGAGATCTCGGGGCCATTAGGGCGACTCTGTAAAAGGGAGAATCTCTCGCTTAAATATTTGAAACCATTTGAAAGCAATCTTTTAAAAGCCATTTTACAGCAATTTCTCCTCGTTTACATAAGAAAGGAAGCTGAAGTGGAAGACAGGAAACTAGAGCAGAGCGAGCAGAGAGAGAGAGACCAGAGAGAGAGACCAGAGAGAGACCAGAGAGAGAGACCAGAGAGAGGCCAGAGAGAGAGACAAGAGAGAGAGACCAGAGAGAGAGACCAGAGAGAGACCAGAGAGAGAGACCAGAGAGAGAGACAAGTGAGAGACCAGAGAGAGAGACCAGAGGGAGAGACCAGAGAGAGAGACCAGAGAGAGACAAGTGAGAGACCATCCAACAGCCTAAAAGGCTCTTTGAGCTAACTTACTTTGCACCTGTAAATGATCAAACTGTCCAAGAGATAATCTCCAGTCTGAGCGCCTCCACATGCAGCCTGGATGTACTACCCACTAGATTTCTAAAGTCTGTTCTGAGCAGTCTGTTACCTTCACTCACACAGATAGTAAACATGTCCCTTCATTCTGGAATATTCCCAAAGGCCCTGAAAACGGCAGTCATCAGGCCCCTGCTTAAAAAGAGCAGTCTGGATGCTCTGGTACTTAACTCACTGACTGCCAGGCATTTTCAGATTTGAGAAGTGCGTTCTGCCAGCAATTTCAGGTGATTTGACCCAACTTTGAAGTGCCACAGAATATTCATTTTTTAGACAATGTAAACACCAAGGGCACCAAATTAAAGATTAACCTCTCTGCTTTACTCTGAAAAAAACAGTTTGTTTCTACCTCTTACCGTTCTTGAGCTATTCGCCATAGAACAAAGCATACTTTCACCCATAACACCTGGTCTGAGCAAGAAAACAGAGAAAACGAGCTGTATGTAAACAGGAACATATCAAGCAGAAAAGAGACTTTTAGATGCATTTTTGCTGCTTTAGTGACAACTCAAAACATCTTCACACTTGTTCTATTACAAAAATTATAAAAACATGACTCTGAAATAATACTTTTGATGGCAAATTGTTGGCAATTTATTCACAGATAGAAAATTTAACTTTCTTCTATTCCATCAACCAAAACGTCAAACAACAACAACACAAAGATCAATAAAACTATAGCTGTATAAAATAGAATGACGCGTGTGAATTTGAGTGTGTGTGTGTGAATGTCAGTGTGCGAGTGAGTGCGTGTGTGTCGGTGTGCGCGTAAGTGAGTGCGTGTGTGTGTTTGTGTGTGTGTGCGTGTGAGTGTTCGTGAGTGTGTGTATGAGTGAGTTCATCTGCTTTTTCAGTCATCCCAGTAGTTCAGCTTTGAGTTGTAGAGGTTGAAACACTGTGTGCAACGGAACACGACACGCTGTGTACCATTTGTAGTTCTCCCTCCGTGAAGAAGAGCTCCAGAAAGTCTGGATCAGATGAATCCAGCTCCAGAAAGTCTGGATCAGATGAATCCAGCTCCAGAAAGTCTGGATCAGATGAATCCAGCTCCAGAAAGTCTGGATCAGATGAATCCAGCTCCAGAAAGTCTGGATCAGATGAATCCAGCTCCAGAAAGTCTGGATCAGATGAATCCAGCTTCGCAGCCTCTGTCCGCAGGCTCTGTGGTCCAGGAGCTCCTGTGAAGGGCAACTGACTCGGCTCCCACTCATCCTCCTGTCAGCCATCTTCCCCAGAGCTTCTGGGTGACGAACGTGCTGGAAAATGGATACACACAATAACTATATTATACAGTGAATTTGTTACAATAAATCAATACATAAAATACAATGAAGGCCTTCCTCCCACATTATTGACTGACTACTTTTGGACCAAACAAATATACTATATTATTATTATATTATATTGCCATGGGATGTACAAGAATAGAAATAGTTCTTTTACCTTTTTTGTGCACAGCAACTGCCTCTTGATGCACCACCTGTAAATAATATAAATTTGTAAATCACTATACCAGGAGAATATATACAAAAATATGTACAATGGTATGAGGAGGCATTATCTTTACCTCCATGCTCTGTCAACTCCAATGGGGGAGGGCTCTTTTATCAGAATCTGTGAATGGAGAACACATTTCATTTAGTCAGAGCTATGTCACTGCAACAAGATGTTCAAGTATGAAATAACTAAACATAAAAATAATAAATACAACAATGATAAAACGCATAACTGGCATTTACTAAAGAAACAGTAGGATTTGAGCACTGTGTTACTTAGCAGATCAGAGCAAGTTTCTGCGCCTTTCCCTCCTCTCAAGTTAGCATATTCTTGGCAATTTAGCAAGTTCTTACCTTTGACTCTTTGTGGAGCTTCTGGAGAGGATGCTCTGCTGGATTGAGACTGCAACCACTCATCCGATAAATCATGATCAGGTTCTCTGAACGAATCCGAGGCATCAGTAACAGCAGCAGCTGATACGCTGCGAGAGGCGGAAGGTGTGTCTCTGCTCCGGGCTCTGGGCTGCAGAGACGGACCTCCACCGGGGTCTCCACTCTCTCCCCTCTCGACCTCACTCACTGATCCGCGAGTCAATCTCTGAAGCAGTGTACACTGCTTATAACTATTCTTTTTCGCCATCACTCTTGCTATACTATCGCTAAACTAGATCGCTGATCCGTCTCAATGCTACAGCAGCACGCTCTCCAAACACTCCCACACTCCTCCTCCTTCTCTCCACTGACTTATGACCTCTCCTGTGGCGCAATACTGCATCCTACTGGTGGTGATTTATCATTACAGGTACATTTGCACTATATATCAGTATTGTGGGTCATTCACAAGGTGCGCCAGACATTACTGCAGCCTCCCGTGTAATAACATGAAAAACTCGTCAAACTCGTCATGGGCAGTGAGCGTTACTATTCAACATGACGAGTTTTGTCGTCATGGGCAGTGAATGAGTTAACAACTATCGTCCCATCTCAAATCTGCCATTTATGGGGAAAGTCCTTGAAAAAGTTGTCTACCTACAGCTAAATAGATTTCTTATAATCAACAACTCATTTGATATGTTTCAGTCCGGCTTTAGACCCCACCACAGCACTGAGACTGCTCTCGTCAAGGTTACAAACGATATCCGGCTAAACACTGACGCAGGCAAAGTCTCAATCCTAATCCTGTTAGATCTGAGTGCTGCCTTTGACACTGTCGACCATGAGATCCTCTTACAGAGACTAGAGGACTGGGTTGGCGTCGCTGGCACCGCCCTAAGTTGGTTTAGGTCTTACCTTGAAGACAGGAAGTACTTTGTGGAGATTGGAAACTGTGTCTCAGATCATATGGCCCTGACCTGTGGAGTACCACAGGGGTCGATCCTGGGACCTCTTCTTTTTAATCTCTACATGCTGCCGTTAGGTCAGTTAATACGCAGAAACAAAGTGTCCTATCATAACTATGCAGACGACACTCAGATCTATGTCTCACTGACTGCAGGAGAACATGGACCAGTGGACTCACTCCTTCACTGTATCCAACAGATCAGTGGGTGGATGCAAAACAACTTCCTTCAGCTAAACGCAGACAAAACTGAAATGATTGTCTTTGGTCCCCAGAAACAAAGAGAGAGCGTCATCTGTCATCTACAGTCTCTCTCCCTAAAACCTTCAAACAAGGTCAGAAATCTAGGGGTAATACTGGACTCAGACTTAAATTTTAATAGCCACATCAAATCAGTAACATCAGCAGCTTTTTACCATCTAAAAAATATTGCCAGGATCAAAAACATAGTGTCTAAAGCAGACTTGGAGATTCTTATCCATGCATTTGTCTCCAGTAGGTTAGACTACTGCAATGGCCTGCTCACAGGTCTGTCCAAACAGGCTGTAAAACAGCTGCAGTACATTCAAAATGCAGCAGCTCGAGTCCTGACAAGAACCAGGAAGTACGACCACATTAGTCCGGTCCTCAGGTCTCTGCACTGGCTTCCTGTGGCTCAGAGAATAGACTTTAAAACAGCTTTGCTTGTGTACAAGTCTCTCCATGGCCTCGCACCAAAATATATTAGTGACATGTTAGTCCCATATGAACCAGCCTGGACTCTGAGGAGCACAGGGACTGGACTCCTGTTAGTGCCCAGAGTCAGAACTAAACATGGGGAGGCTGCTTTTCAGATTCATGCTGCTAAAATCTGGAACATTCTTCCTGAAGATGTGAGACAGGCCTCCTCTCTGACTATGTTTAAAACCAAGTTAAAAACGGTGCTGTTTAGCTGTGCATTGTGATGGCAAGCTGCCTAGACTCGGGGACGCCAACTCACCCCCCCGCTGGCTCTATTCAATTAACCTGCAGGAAGGAGCCGGGCTTCCCCCCGCAGACAATGACGCAAATCACTGTCTCACCCTTGTCCCTTTTGCATCTTGCATCTGTATGTCTGCATCTCTACATCCTGCATGTCTATTGTCTCTCTGTTTGCATCTCCATGGCACGGTCTGATTGCCTCTCCCGGGGCATGGCGCCTCGCCTCCGGATGCGCCTCCTGTACTGGTGACCCCCTCCCATCTTTTGTGGGCGTGACTGTCTTTCATGTGTTGTCTATGTAAACAGGAACCTGCTCTGGCCGCGCAGAGCTGATGTACGCTGCTTTTTGTGTATGTGAGCTCTCCGCACGTGTGTTACAATAAACTTACGCTCCTGATTAAGACAAATACCTTTGAGCTTTCTCCTTCATTGGGGTATGTAATTCTACAACAATTTGGCGTTGCTGGCATGTCTTGGCCTGGATCTTTTCGGCGGGGACGAGCGGCTGCGTTTGGCCGACCTGGAACAACACCAGCCTCTGCTCTATTTGGAGACAAAGGAGGGCGCGCTCGTCCGGCGCATGAACAGAATCTTTGGCCACACAAGACCAAAAAGAACCTGATTTGGTGAGTTTTGTCTTTTCATTTGCGTAACAAGCCCAGGGCAGCACTTAAGTGTACACGGGGATTTCATTTATTTACGTATTTTTGGGGTATTTCATTCATTGCCACAGCATAGACTG